TAAAGACAATCCGGGGACATACTGTATTATTCTTTTTAAGCTTGATATAATATAATGTGCTCAATCCCACTTAATATTATTGTGTCGATGTTGATAGATAAAAATTATGTTATATTTTAGTATAAAATTTCTATTCAATTAAATATCCATTTGAACGACAAAAAAATATGCATGAGCTATCCAGTGGCGTGCCGTATAGGGGACACGGGGGGGGGGGGCGATTGACCCCTCCGCCTCTTAGATCTGACCGAGTGACGCGCTCTAGTGAAATCGCAAAATTGAACGTACCATCTAACTATTCTCATTCTACGATCACGTTATGGTCTAGTCTTTTTATTTTCTTTTTATTTGTTTGCATTTTCGACATTTTCCTGACCAACACTACTTCTTGTAAGAGCGGTTGGTAACGTTGCTTTGTCCAGTCGAAGAGCACTGCCGTCCCGGTGCTCGCTGCCGCCATTGTCACCGCACGCAATGGACCTCAAAGGACAAACAACTTATCATTACTTAGTATCGAATCGGAAAAAGCGCAATTAATCGATTATGATAAGTTATTAAACAAACTTAAGTCTGTAAAAACAAGTCGCTTAAAATTTTAATTAAATAGATAGTTTTATTTTTTGTTCGTATTTTTCCTAGTAGTACAGTAATCTAATAATGTATGAATAAATACATCCCAATACAACCCCTATAATCCGAAGTACTGTATAATCCTATAATCCAAGCGCCCGCCCTAATCGTGTAAAATGAACCATAATCTCAACACCTTGAATTTGGCAATTTGAATTACTCTGCACTCTGCATGTACCCGGCGCCCTCAACATAGCTCGCCCACCCCGCCCCTTTACCCACGGCACGCTATTGTACTGGAGCTATCCAGTTAGGGTGGAGCAACTACCCCCGTTACCCTACAGTGGCCACGCCTATGTTTGGAACTATTTAAGGAACTAAAAGATCTGCGAAAGGACAGTTCCTAGATTCCTAGTCTACAGTCAACATCGCAGTCAGTTGCCCCTGTTAGTCAACAAGTTCGTTGTTCTTTATTTTGGCTAAATAAAGTTAAGTCCAGGAAAATACCGCCGAAATGTCTAGAGCCGTAAGACGTAAACACGTGTTGTTGGAAGTGTTTCAAGATGGATTTTCCACACCTACTGAAGATCAGCGTATAGTAAAAGTATTGAGTAGCCCAGGTAATAATCTACACGAAGTTGAAGATTCAGATGGAAGCAAGTTTCTTGTCTCCATGCCGCCAAAATTTCGCAGAACTATGTGGGTTATACGAGGAGGTTACATTCTAATCGAACCGATAAAAGAAGGTAAAAAAGTCAAAGGAGAAATCGTGAGGATACTTACAAAGGAGCAGATTCAACACTTCAGAAAAGAGAACGTATGGCCCAATGCATTTAAAGTAGATAAAAATGAAGAGAAACATACCGATGATATATTGGTAAATAGAAACAGACCTGTTATTGATAGTGACACTAGCAGTTCCAGCGATAGTGAAGATTCGTCTAGTGAAGAGGATAGTGAGCCTGAATTTGTAAATAGAAATAGACCTGTGATTCAAAGTGATAGTAGTAGTTCCGACGATAGTGATGAGTTGTTTAGTGAAGAAGATAGCTGAACATTTAAATAGACGGTCTTAATAAAGTAATTTTTAATTAGGCTTAGTTTTGTAATCTTTGTGAAAAAAATATTATTCAATAAATAATGAATCTTGAAAAATTAATTAACCTGTGTTTTAATAAGTTCATTAATATTATTTTACTAATATAAACTTTTAATTTTTTATACCTTTTATTAACTAAAAATACATACATTATCACAGACTAACTTAACTAATGTGATTAATACTAAATCGAAAAAAGAAAATTAAAAAACTGTATGTATTTTAATACCCTCCTCTGTGTTAATTCTAAACTCTCTTCTGTGTTAATAAAATAAAATTTATTAATACAAAAGAGCTCCTCAGCAGAAAAAAAAATGATTTGCGGGGTTCTGAATGAAGCTTAAGTCCTAAAAATCAAGAGGCGTTTCTATGATAATATCAATTGGATTTCATTCTTTGATAGATGGTTATTATTAATTTTGATTAATGTCATATTCTTTGTGTCGTTGTTAAAGTATCATATTTTCTGATAACTAGCATCACCCTTTCCATAGCATTGAACTAAATAAATTTTGTGCTTCTTTGAATAACAATCTATCAAAGAATGAGAACGAAGTTATTACTTCACCTTTCAAACGAATAGGGTAGGACGGAAATTATAATATAATTTCGATTTCATTCTTTGATAGATGGTCATTATCATATATGACATTAGTCTATTATTATTAATTTTGATTAACGATATATTTTTTGCTGTTTTTAATTTTTAAAGTATAATACATAGATAAAGGAAACAAGTTTAGATTCGAATGCTCGGCTTACTGCTAAGACTTCTAATTGTTTTGGAGCGCATACGTTGTAGGGCGCTGCTATAGCGGTTGCTAAGAACAATACCAAACAAGAACAGAAATAATTTTGTGTGTGCCCTGTGTCCCATGAATGCTGACAAATCTTAGATTTGTGAAAATCTCCCTTAAATAATCTTTATGTTCTTAAATGTTCGACTTAAAGAACATAAAGATTATTTAAGAAAGGGAGATTTTCATAAATGTAAGATGTTCTGTAATGTTTTTTCAAATAACATTTTTGCTTTTTAATGAGTTTTTACGGGAGATTTTTGGATTTTTTTTTCTGCTAGAGCGTTCTTTTTCATAAATTTTATTTTATTAACACAAAAGAGAGTTTAGAATTAACACAGAGGCGAGAGTGTTAAAATATAGGTATACAGTTTTTTTATTATATATTTCTTAGAAAAGTTATTTGTACAATTTCAAAAACGTTATTACAAAATTCAATATTCTTTTTAAACTTATACAATAAAATTGTTCTTATTCTTAGCCAAACTCACAAGATAGCAATAATTACTTTGAAAATGGACGCTTTAAACACTTTTCGGTATTTTTTCAATGAGGGCGATTTAAATTTTAAAAGAGATTCTGACTTTGACAAGAGAAAATTGTTTCTGTTCTTGTTTGGTGTTGTTCTTAGCAACCGCTATAGCAGCGCTCTACAATGTATGCGCTCCAAACTTTGAATAAGAAGGCTAAGGAAGGAGCATAATGCTGTCCATATATTCATGCATGGTGGGCGGAAAGAAGACTCTAGGGTGGGGATCCTTGACAGTTCTGTTTGACGATTCATTTGACACATTTGAATTTGATTTGAAATTCTGTGGATTTGTCAGTCTTTACGGAGCTTATTTTATGTTATTTATTATTTATTCTACTACTGATAGTTGTAAAAGGTAGTAAATCTAGATGGAAATTGTGGCAGAACTTAAATTAACAGTGACTACACAGTGACACTATCGCGATTTATCGAAAAAGACTCTAAAATAGTTGGTTGTGTAGCGTGCGGTAGATCTCGGCAAAAATTGAGTGAAATAATAGAACAACTTTTCGCTAGTAAGTGACTATATAATATACATACGTGTAGTAAACCGATCATTTATGAAATTCACTTAAATTAACTAAATTATATATTTTTCTTGCATTTTAGCTTTTATTTACTACTTGTCAAAGATCAAATGTCAAAGAATTTTGATACGTTAATTTGACATACCTGCTTCAGTAGCGTATCGGATGTTTGTGTTAAATAATACTTATTATAACTTATCTATTTTTATTAGAATTATATATTTTTATAACAATTTTAATAACTACCAACATTTATTCACAACGTAAAATAAAACAACAAATTATTGAGTCTACCCCACGTCTACCCTACATCATAGATTTACATTTTTTAAATAAAATTAGAACGGCACTGATAAACCGGAATTTAAGTCGGCCATATTTGAGGCCCATCGCGGTGTACCTAAGATTTTTGATATGCTCCTTCCTTAGTCTTATTATTCAAAGGCTCCAAAACAATTATAAGTTTTGGCAGGAAGCCGAGCATTCCAATCTAACCTTGTTTCCTTTATCTATGTATTATACTTTAAAAACAGCAAAAAATATATCGTTAATCAAAATTAATAATAATAGACTAATGTCATAGGTATATGATAATGACCATCTATCAAAGAATGAAATCGAAATTATATTATAATTTCCATCCTACCCTATTCGTTTGAAAGGTGAAGTAATAAAAGGAATTGTAGTCAACCCGTAGTTCTAAAAATTCTAAAGTCCTAAAAATCAAAAAGGCGTTTCTATGGTAATATTATTTCAATTTCATTCTTTGATAGCTTGTTACTGATAGAATTTTAATTCTGTTTTTTAGACATAGTGAATGATCGTAAACTAAAAAGTATAATTGAAACCACTAATCTATTCTATTAATTGCGAGGTTCTCAATGAAGCTTAAGTCCTAAAAATCAAAACGCGTTTTTTGGTAATATAACTTTGTTCTCATTCTTTGATAGATTGTTATTCCATAGAAGCACAAAATTTATTTAGTTCATTAACAACACAAAGAATATGACATTAATCAAAATTAATAATAACCATCTATCAAAGAATGAAATCCAATTGATATTATCATAGAAACGCCTCTTGATTTTTACGACTTAAGCTCATTCAGAACCCCGCAAATTATTTTTTTTCTGCTGATGCGCTCTTTTGTATTAATAAACTTTATTTTATTAACACAGAAAAGAGTTTAGAATTAACACAGAGGATAGTAATAAAATACAAACAGTTTTTTAGTTTTCTTTTTTCGTTATAGTATTAATCACATTAGTTAAGTTAGTCTGTGATAATGTATGTGTTTTTAGTTAATAAAAGGTATAAAAAATTAAAAGTGTATATTAGTAAAATAATATTAATGAACTTATTAAAACACAGGTTAATTAATTTTTCATTATTTGTCGAATAATATTTTTCTCACAAATATTACAAAACTAAGCCTAATTAATAAATTACTTTATTAAGACCGTCTATTTACATGTTCAGATATCTTCTTCACTAAACAACTCATCACTATCGTCGGAACTGCTACTATCACTTTGAATCACAGGTCTATTTCTATTTACAAATTCAGGCTCACTATCCTCTTCACTAGACGAATCTTCACTATCGCTGGAACTGCTAGTGTCACTATCAATAACAGGTCTGTTTCTATTTACCAATATATCATCGGTATTTTCCTCTTCATTTTTATTTGCTTTAAATTCATTGGGCCATACGTTCTCTTTTTTGAAGTGTTCAATCTGCTCCTTGGTAAGTATCCTCACGATTTCTCCTTTGACTTTTTTACCTTCTTTTATCGGTTCGATCAGAATGTAACCTCCTCTTATAACCCACATAGTTCTGCGAAATTTTGGCGGCATGGAGACAAGAAACTTGCTTCCATCTGAATCTTCAACTTCGTGTAGATTATTACCTGGACTACTCAATACTTTTACAATACGCTGATCTTCAGTAGGTGTGGAAAATCCATCTTGAAACACTTCCAGCAACACGTGTTTACGTCTTACGGCTCTAGACATTTCGGCTGTATTTTCCTGGACTTAACTTTATTTAGTCAAAATAAAGCACAAGGAACTTGTTGACTAACAGGGGTAACTGACTGCGATGTTGACTGTAGACTAGGAATCTAGGAACTGTCCTTTCGCAGATCTTTTGGTTCCTTAAATAGTTCCAAACATGGGCGTGGCCTATGCTTGGAACCATAGGGTAACGGGGGTAGTTGCTCCGCCCTCACTGGATGGCTCATGCATAATTTCTTATCGTTCAATTCGATATTCAATTGAATAGAAGTTTAATACTAAAATATAACATAACTATTGTGTATCAACATCGATACGATAATATTAAGTGGAATTGAGCACATTGTATATCGAGTTTTAAAAGAATAATAGATATATTGAAAAGATACCGTGAAAATGTTGACTATTGAAAGTGTTTGTTGGACTTGTGATAAACTTTAAACGCATTTTACATGCAATTGTTTATGTTGAAGTTGTGAGTACATCAAGACTGTTTGTAGCCCATTGATAAGAGATGGAAAATTGAAAACTGTTTAGTTAAAAAAAATAATTTGTTGATAATATGGCAACATAGGTAGTAAATTAAATTTACAAGAAAGAAAATCCAGAAAAGATCCAGTGGTTCTCAAAATTTTAGCAAAAAATCATTTTTTTTGGACATTTTCAAAGTAAACTATTTCTTTATACACTTACTTCTGGGACACCCTGTATATCGAGCTTAAAAAGAATAATAGATATGTTGAAAAAGATACCATGAAAATGTTGACTTTGAAAGAGTATAAGGCTAAGTAACTAAGGCTATTAAACTGTATTGAAAAAAAGTCTTAATAGAGACTTTTTCAATAAAATTTAATAAAAAAAAATCAAAGAAATCAAACCGCCTGCGCCTTCGCGTAAATCATGAACGCCTATATGGTAAATTTTATATGGGAATTATACACAAAATAATAAGTGCACATATTTTCAGGGCTGGTAGATATCCATGAAAGAAACATATTTTCTCTTTACTGTTTTTCAAAAAAGTCCAAAATGAACGAGATATTTTAATTGGAAATTTTAAAAAAATTATGATTTTTTGGGGTCAAAATATACCACCCCTAAAAATATTTGCACTTATTTAAGACTCACCCTGTATATAACGCAGTATCAATGACGAACTGTAAATTTAAAAATCAAGCCCCAACAGGAAATTTTTACCATTGATGTGACACGACGGTTTTGCACCATTACAAGTTATTTATAATTAATATACTTATTAATTATAAGGATTGTAGGTACACAACACATCGGTTTTTGGCAATTTGTAAATTGCGATTTAAACGAATGCAAAATACCGACGTGTGTGGGAGGCTTTAGATGCAGAATTAAACATATTAATATTTTTGTACTGAAAGAGTTTCGATATTCTTGTAACTGTTTTTAACCAATTCTACATTAAAAGTAATCTTTTAAATGTTTTCTTTGAATGCAGAATATTTATATCAATTTCGTATCGTCATATATTTCGTATTAGTCGATATACGATCAGCAAATACAGCAGAGCAAAGTTAAAATCAAAATAAGATTTTGTGACATGCTTAATTGTACAGGTTGTCCCTAATTGCGTTGATCAAATTTTAATGGCACGACTAACTAAAATAAACGTATAATCATATAAGTGTTAGTAGAGTAGCAAGTAATCCAGAACTGATAATCCACAATTTCTGAACAAAATTCTGTGAAACTATTTTTCTTTTTAATTTATTTTCGAAACTGTCAACTATCGAAATAAAATATATAATTGCAATACATACAGGGTTATAGACACACGATTAGATTTTTAGAAAGTGTCAGTGATGAGATCGTTGGAGGATTACTAAAGCTACAATTTCAAAAGGTACAGAGTGCCCCAAAGTGTATTTTTTAATGGAACACCCTATATATTATTACATTTTTAGTTTCTACGATTAAAATAAAATCACATTTTATTAAGGTGTACCGCACTTCATGTTTACCTATCTCTTCAAGTTTTCGTAGAAAATGATTTTCCTTATAATTTAGACTTCATATCATTATTATTCAACCCATTACATGGAATATTGACATTTTTGATTATTTTTAAAGAGGTAACAAATTTTCAAAGAGCACCAGATACTAATATTGTCGATATAAGTTCGCTTATTTCTTTAAAAAATAAAAAAAACTGTGTAAATATTTGTAAAAGAGGGACCAATTAATATGATCCCAGTATTCTAACTACATTAATTGACTGTTTGCGTTGATTAATAAATTGCTCCAAATACTAACAAAACTTAATTTTGTATGTGTATTAGACAATGTGGTAAAAAGTAATATCTCATAAATTTTATTTCATTTTTTAATGAATGCTTATTTATAAAGATAAAGACGTTCTCATTCATAACTTATTATTATATTTATTTCTGATTCAAATGCATATTTATTTAGAATAATTTATTACCTAACAAAATTAAGCATATAATTAATTAATATTTGGGCGGAAGTAATGGTGGTATATTAGTATACTCTTTTACTAAGATTTAAATACTTTTATTTTTGTATACAAATGGGTTAGTAATATTATCGTTTTCAGTACCTGTACATTTTATACATTTATTGCTTTAAAAAAATATCTAGATTGTCAATATTTGTCCATGGGTCTATTGATAAAACAGGTATAAATTATAAGAAATTGCATTTTCTACGAAAACTTGAAGAAATAAGTAATAAATGGTATAATATAATTTGATAGACATTAAATTGTGATAAAATTATAGACAATTGAGTATTTAATTTAAATTAAAGTTTTAAAAAGTTACGGCGGCAGTTATTGCAGTTTAAAAGCGAGTAATTATTTAATATAAATTTTTAGACACTCTCTATAAGGTAGTATAATTTTTATTATTGCAAAACAAAATTTAGCAAATAGAAAAACTTCAGTACTATATTTGGTTTTAAAAAATTAAAAACTCCTAGAGAAATGAAGCATTAAAATTGTTACTGCATTTTCACAAAATCGTAAATATTTCAAAACTGGTAACATGAAAGTACGCTAAACCATAATCAAATATACCTTTACTATAATCGTAAAAACTAAAAGTGTAATAATATACAGGGTGTTCCATTTAAAAAAATACAACTTTGATATTTTTTATTTATTTGGGACACTCTGTACTTTATGAAAATAATTTCAAATTGTAGCTTTAGTATTCCTACAACAATCTCATCACTCACAATTTCTTAAAATATAATCATTCGGCTACAGTACTCCACGTATAATAAGCTGAGTAACCCTGTTTAAAGGGTCCGCCAAAAGTGCGTCGGGCATCTGTAGCTCTTAGAATAAAAAAACTTGAGAATTTTGTTTAAGTACAAACCTAAAGTGTATACGAGAATGTATTTCAGGAAAATATTTTAACTTCTATAGGGTGGCTCAAAAAAGTGTCAGTGGATCGGGAATCGGGATATTTTTTTTAAATGAAATACCCTGTATATTATTGCATTTTTGGTTTCCTTTCAGATCACTTTTCAGAGACATTAATAAATAAATCAAAAATATATACTTTTCAGCCTTTTTTAAAAAAAATATTAAAAATACAAGAAATATCCTGAAATCAAAACTATATTAGGTATTTACTTTAGATGGTCTATACTTACTTTGCTACAAATATCGTAAATGTAAATAATACAGGGTGTTCAAAATTCTACGCTAAACTTTCTTAAATATAAAATAATTTTTCTTTGTTTTTTTTAAATGGAACATCCTATTATGTTTTTATTAGATGGAGAGTTGAAAAAATAACAATTTTTGTATTTAAAGTATTTCAAAATTCTTAATGGTTTCGCAGTATTATTTCATATGGCTTTTTGGCAACGGTAAAATACAAGAGAAAAATCATTGGGTGGCTTTCATAAAAAGTTACTATGGAAAATGCCATATGAAAAATAAAACCGCAAATATCTGCGAAACCGTTAATATATAAATTATATTATATGTAATAATACAAAAAATTATCATTTTTTAATTCTCCATCTATTGAAAAAATAATATACAGGATGTTCCATTTAAAAAAAGGGAGAAAAATTATTTTATAATTTAGTAAGTTTGACGTAGAATTTTGAACAACCTGTGTGATTTACGATTACCATTAATGCAAAGTAGGTACAGGCCATTTAGGTAAATACCTAATATTGGTTTGATTTCAGGACAATTCTTGGTATTTTTAATAATTTTTTAAGAAAGGCCGAAAATTATATATTTTTTATTTATTAATATCTGTAAAACTATCGAAACATATTTACTCATATCTTAGGATTATGTAAAGTGATCTGAAAGGAAGCCAAAAATGCACTAATACACAGGGTGATCCGTTTAAAAAAAATAATCCCGATCCACTCACACTTTTTTGAGCCACCCTATAGAAGTTAAAATATTTTCCTGAAATACATCCTCGTACATACTTTAGGTTTGCACTTAAACAAAATTCTCAAGTTTTTTTATTCGAGGAGCTACAGATTCCCGACGCACTATTGCCGGACCTTGTAGGTGCAAAGTTCATTCCACTCAATTAGGGATACCTTTCATCTCATTACAATCAAAGAAGGAATACTAACGGCACAAAACTATTTGAACTTTTACCGTGGAATCGTCGAGAAACGCACACAACGAAGAAAACGCGCCGCGCAAACCGAGCTAAACAAACTAAACCACCGCGAAATGTGCGCGAATTAAATTACTAAATTACCGGTTAAAAGACGTTTACCACGACCACGTAGAGGGGCATCCGTAAATGTTTATAAAAAGGCGAGATTGTCCCGTCTTAATAGGTCCGAAAAAATTGCGGTGTTAGTTTCTGTTGTTGTTGTCTCGGGTTCTGTAGCAAACTAGAAAGGGCAATGACAAATCTCAAGAAAGAGAAAAATTACCGCTAGAGTTAAAGACGCACTGGAAGTCTTAACTAAATTTGATATACCAGGGCAAGATGATAATTATTAAGGCGTTACAAAATTATAATTATTCATCATTAAAAAATCTCTTGAAATGTTTATTCCCTTTTCTGAACTGGATATCCACGGATACAAATCTTTCAGTGGTTGCTTTACTTTAATCACATCTCTCTAAAAAAACTGTACAAGGTGTCCTATTTTCGTGAGTTTTGCAGGATTTCTCGGTTATGAATAGAAGTACAAAGATGTGGCTTTGCTACTAAAACTGTTGCTACTTGTTATGAAACTAAAGGTGCTATACAGATTTGTCCTAGTCCTCTCATGAATTTGAAAATTTTGCAATTTGTGACCCCTTCCTCTCGGTCATTCTATTATCCGAAAGGTGAAAACTCAGTCCCGTAGAACCCAGTGGCGTAACTACACTCAGATGCAAAAAAACGCAACGGAGAAACTTTTGGTTAAATTTAAAATGTTATATTTTTGTTATTTTTAGTCCTATTTTCATGAATTTTTTAGCAAGCTGTATATAATTACATCAACTTTAATTCGTAAACTCAGTTTTTTATAAACTTTAGTATTTGACATATTATACAGGGTTAACCGAGGGGTTGTTTTTTATCCTAACTTTAAAACACCTTGTGCAATATTTTCGCATGTAAATTTTGAAATTGATCGTAATCCAGTATATTTCGCTCTTAAAAATTCACCAAAGCATGTATTGACATGAATCAAAAAATAAAATTCTCAGGAGTCATGGTTCTGACTGTAAAATTATATTTTAGGAAAATTCACACACGAAATTATTGCACAGGGTGTTTTAAAGTTAGAGTAAAAAAACAACCCCTCGATTAACCCTGTATAACATGCCAAATACTAAAGTTTATAAAAAACCATAGATAAAAGAAAATAATCTTCTATTATAAAAAACCTAGTTTACGAATTAAAATTGATATAATTATGTACAGCTTGCTAAAAAATTCATGAAAATAGGGCTAAAAATAACAGAAATATAACACTTTAAAATTGACCTAAAATTTCTCCGTTTCGTTTTTTTTTGCATCTGAGTGTACTTTTTTGCTGGGAGCTGTCTCGAAATATGACTTATGTCTGAACTTTTTGACTTTGAAATGTTTGACTTATATGAACTTATGTTTTTTGTTTCTATGGCCACCCTGTATATTATTTTTTTTATTAAATTTGTCTTGTTATATATATAGCTCTCTAAAAATATGTTATACCCTATACTTATTTTCATAAATAAGGTAAAAATGTATTATTTAAGTTTATAACATTATCAACCTACAGTAGAACTTCGATAGTTCGGACACATATCGGAAGAGCCCCCGCCGAATTAATGAAGTATCCGGATTACTGGACGAATATTTCTATAATGTTATTGTTGCATACTTTTATTGTTTACAACCTAAACTCAAAATGTAAACACATTTTTATATAAACCAAAACGCAAAATACTTAGGTACTAAAACTTCAACTGATTCTTATAAATTGTGCTTATTGGACCTACATGTACATCCATAAGATAACTCTGTTACTACTTATTACAATATCCATATTGAGTAACTCCGCACCCCTTAATACGCATTAAATACTTCCATAAAAATGTCAACAAATGTGAAATTTATATTTAGCTTGAATTGAATTGATCGATTTGATTTAATTGGATTTAAAAAAAAAAAGAATCGCATTGAAAGATCGTTTTCATCTACTCAGTAAATTTTACAGCATTACTTCATTTTGTGTTCAAAAGTTTCATTTTCAACACAATATTCTTATCATCTTTTTCACTTAAATCATCATTTGTTTTCTTTGTTTCCAATGCTTAGTATTTTCTCTTCAATTTATCTCTGCCTTATTATACCCTTCAGTCAAACCAGGGAGAAATTATTTTTCTCCTTAAGTTCATTTACAATTGTTTTATTTTGTGTATGGTTTGATATTTATTATTTGTTCATGGTAGATATGATTTTTTTGTTTTTGGTATTTCTGATTTTTTTATATTTGAAATATTAAATTTCGGAACAACAAAAAATGGAATGTTACATATGAAAAAGAAATGTTATGTATCCTTGTCAATGCAATACAAACTTACATTTCTTCAGTAAGAGTCGTTTGATTGGCTCTATTTTTTATACTCTATTCGTTTAGAAGGTGAAGTAATAAATCATCTAAAATTACGCAAATTAACCTTACCTGATAGTACGAGTCTCGGTATCGCACATTACAATTTAGGCATAAAAGGGACAATACAGGTAGTCTTAGCGCACGGGCTAACATAAAGAGGAAATACAATAGAAATTTGACATTTTTTGCGTTGAAAAGCTCGAAAATGGCAGAAGTGTGGCTTATCTAAATACCTTTATTGGGCTTATCGATTGGTTGGTTTCTTATTATAATAGTTATCCCTATAATAAAATAATTTAATATTATTGAAATGTAATTGCAAGTTTTGGTTATATTTAAAAATTATATGAATCACAAAAATTTTTAACGTGAAACTATTTTTGATTTTAAGTTATTTTTCGAAAGCTGACTATGACTTAAATTTAAGTAATTTTCAAAACCATTTGTGACTTAAATCTTTATTCTGAAATAGAAACAGAATTAAGTCATTAAAAAAAGACTTAATCTTTTAAAAGATTTAAGTCTTTTTAAAAAAGGAGGCCAAGTAAGAAGGTCAATTTTGGCATACAGGTTGATTCTAGGGTTTAGAGGTTCGATAAGAAGGGATTTTTCGAAATTCCAGTTCCAAGGGAGTGAAACCAACTGAAATATTACAATATTTTTTATTAAAAGGATCAAGGTTCCGAAAAAACGCTTAAACACGTATATTTTATTTTGTTTTTTTACATATTTTAAGATTTTTTAAAAATTTATACAGGGTGTTTCGAAAAATCTGGTCATTGATTAATCATGATCCTGCTTAAAGCGCTTGACGTAAAAATCTGATTTTTGGAAAACGGATTGACTTTAGGGTGTAGAGGTTCGATAAGAAGGGATTTTTCGAAAATCGAATTCTAAGGGGGTGAAACCACTCCTCAAACATTAGAATAATTTTTATTTAAAAACCGGTGAGTTTTTCGGAAAAACTCTTAAACACGTATATTTTATTTTGTTGTTTTACATATTTTAAGATTTTTTAAAAAAATTATACAGGGTGTTTCATAAAATATCACCATTGAGTAATCACGATTCTGCTTAAAGTGCTTGACGTTTAAAGCTAATTTTTGGCAAACGGATTGACTGTGGGGTGTAGGGGTTCGATAAGGATGGGTTTCTCGAATCTCAAATTCCAAGAGGGTAAAAACGCCCCTCAAATATTACAATATTTGTTATTTAAAGAACGGTTAGTCTTTCGGGAAAACGCTTGGACACGCATAATTTATTTTGTTTTTTACATATTTTGAAATTATTTAAAAAATCATATGGGATGTTCCAAAAAGTTGGGTAATTGATTAACCACGATTCTGCCCCAGTTTGTATGTTAATGGAAATTCTTGCTTTGCCTTATCATCACCATTACAAATGATTAATTCAACGCGAACGAAGTAGTCTTTTTATAAAAAGACTTAAATCAGATTTTCATAAATATATTTTTATGATAAATTTTTAACAGCAGCATTTCTTTTTAAAGTGTTAAACACTCAGCAAATAAAAAGTTCATTTTTCGGAACCTGTTTAGATTATTTTTGTCGTGTTACATGTGTGTAGTGAGTCTGTTGTCTTTCAAGTGAATCAAGTGAATGGCCCACTCCGTTATGTAGACCGAAAGACCAACCAAAGAAATTGATCATGAATATAATGAAGAGTCTATTAAAATCCACCAGCCCTTAACTTACGCCATCAACATATCGTCCCATTGCTGCCAAAAGTCACTAACTTACTTTTTATCACTTCCGAGAAAAATGCGTCTAAAGATGAATTGCATTGCATAAAGATGTTATGTTCGTAGTTAATGACTTTTGCAATCGATTCTCCGCTTCAAAACATAGTGATTGAATTTGGTTGTTCGGAAAAATGTTAGTTAGTGACTTTTGGCAGCAATAGGACGATATATTATTACACAGTGTTCAAAACATGTCACCACTTTTTAATGAACATGTATTCGATAACATCTAAACTGTAATGGATACATATAAAGTACTACAAAGTCGATAAAATTTTATAAAAACACATACTATTTTGTGTATGTAGTTATTCTAAAAATTGAATGTTTTTTTGTGGTTTTAGTCTGATTTGTACCTACAATAAATCAATAATATAGGTAACAAGGAAATCGACAATCGGTAATACAAATTTTTATTAACATTAAAAGGTACTTAATTGAATTTTGGCTGTCTTGACTTGACTTGGAAGAAAATTATTTAAGTCAAAGACTTATGATTTAAATCATTTAAATTTTATGCTGAAATTGACTTAAGATTTAAATCATTTTGATTTAAGAAAAGACTTAAAACTTAAGATTTACGTCTTTTTGAAACTAACTTGTTGCAGCTTTGGTAAGAATATAAGCTAACTATAAAATACTAACAGTTTAATCTCCATGAACGATATTTTTTCCTCTGTATAAGTCCTGAGTCCTCCTGTAATTACAGCTTCCATACCTACAATACAGTTTATAATCTATTTTTCAAATTATAAAAACCCATCAGGTGAAAGAAACAGAAAGGCCCACCAGCCACTAGTTTATTGCCTACTGTGTAACCATAAACCGTTTTATTACTTCGCCTTTCAAAAGGATAGAGTATAGTAATAAAGATACTTCTGACTCCTGTACTACAAAGAAAAGCCTACATACTACATCTAACCGTCCATCATCTAAAAAAAATACGGGCTTTCATTCATAAACCTTTGAATTTTGTTGCCATCCGGAATAAATAGGTAAAAATATCAAAATTGTCCGGTAGATAAGAGACGCCACAGGAGTGTCCGATTTAGCGTGTCCGAATTAGAAAATTATAGTTTTTTAAGTAAAAAATGGGGGAAATGTATATTTTTACTCAGTGGTTGTAAGACAGGTGCGGACGAAAAGTTAGGTTCTTCAAAACAAAAACAAAAAAACATGTAGGTGGCGCACCCTACAAGTAGTAGTCTGACGCCCTGTATAACTTTTTCGTGAACACCCTATAGAATTCTAAACAATTTTCAAATGTGATTCAAATAAACTTACGTAATATATGCCTAATTTATTTTATTCTGGCACAGTTTTTTCTACTTCGTAAGTCCCTGTTCATATTAGATACTGTATATGCGCCACACTGTATACAGTTTCGAAGACAAACCGATATTTTAAATTGTGTCTCTAAACTGGAACTTCGAGACAAGTATGTCAAACTGTTGACAATAAGTAAATAATATAAATATAAGAAATACCGTTAGTTTAAACAAGATTTCTTTGTTCAACGCTTCTTATTCAGGTAGATAATACAAAACAAACCTATTACTCACTGAAAAATTCCTAGTACTACTTAAAAACATTAATTCTTTCATTGCTCCAACTTTAAATCATTACTTATTATGATTCAACTACCTACTGTATATGTATTTGTAACCTTTAAAAGAATTGTTACCTTTCATTATTTGATAAGAGTCAATTTACTGATTAATAATAGTTAATAACAGTTAAATGGTTTTAAATTGAAATCAATAATCAGCGAAAAATAGTACTATATTCTTTCTATATATTTTTCAAAATATGCAGTTCTAAGCCAGATTTCAATATTATTTGTTTAGATATACAAGGAGATTCAAACTTAGATGTTCACTAAAGTTGTAATTTTTTTCGTAAACAAATTCGTACATATTCTTTTATTCAGTGGATTTGCCATAAAATTGTCATTCCAAGAACAGAAAGCTATTTTATAAAAAATTGGCGCCGGGAGGCACGTATGATATTTTTTTTATCTCAAAAACTGCGACTTTGACTGATTTTGATGTTATTACAAATTTTGTTGCAGATATTCCTAATCTTAAATTGAAAACCGCGTTTCGCTAGCTACTGTAATTTTGGAGTTACAATTTTTTTAATTTTTTAACCCCCTCCCATACCCCCTTACCAACACCCCATCCCCACCCAAAACTAATGGCCAGATTCTCTGGTGCCACAGTATTTTTGTGCCAAATTTGGTTAAAATCGGTTTAGCGGTTTTTGAGTTATCGTGTTACAGACGGACAGACAGACAGACGCCATGAAAATATTTTGTATTTAGGTCATTTATGACCCAAATAACTCATTTTGAGTAAAATTAAAAAAACTTTTTTTTTGCTGATCTTAATAGCCTACCATACCTATTGGTATGGTCGGTTAAAAACATCAGTTTGGGTCATATCTCAACAATGACAGTTTCCAACGGAAAACTAACGCCACTGAATTCTACATGAAAAACACCATGGAACTCAGTTTTCACCTTCTCGATATTATAAGATAACGAAGATACGAGGGCAGTCGAAAAGTGCAATCACTTCAAATTCGCCCTGTATTTCAGAAACTAAGAGGGCTATGGCAAATTTATGTGTAGAATTTTTGGTTTCATAAAAAAGAGCAAATTAATGTAAAAACCGCACCTTTCTACCTCTGCTCATAATCGAGAAACCCTGTAAGACACACAAAAATTAGACACCCTGTAAAATGTAATCAAAATTCTTTCCGAATAAAAATGCTTTTTATGATGACAGAATGTAATTTTTCTCACAGAAAAAAATGTAGGAAAATCACATTAAAATATATAACTGTCGTGCAAAAGAATATTTTCCAGTGACAGTTTCCTGTTCTAAATGAAAAAGTAAATTGAGTATTTTAGTCTAAGAGCTAGCAACGTTTTCGAGAAAGTATTTTAAGACGTCTGGGTCTTTGATATATCTTTTACTATGCTCTCTGGAACAGCATGCGGCCCGTCTGGCTGCCGATACCCGTTGCGTTCACTACTGCGCATCGGAAGAAGATCCTATATTTTTTATTAATTTAGTTCTATAAATTCTAGTATTGAATATAAATCGAACATGTCTCTATAGCGCAGTGCGTAGAGTTTCCGACCACAAACCGATGATTCAGAGTTCGAATCCGGGCCCGGGCAAAGACTTTTTTATTTTATTTTCGTTTATATTCTGATAGTGAAGTATTAAATATTTGTTTTTTTTTGAATTGCCAGAATTCTTTAATACTTTACTATCAGAATATAAACGAAAATAAAATAAAAAAAGTCTTTGCCCTGGCCCGGATTCGAACTCTGAATCATCGGTTCGTGATCGGAAACTCTACGCACTGTGCTATGGAGACATGTTCGATTTATATGCAATATTAGAATTTAAAGGACTAATAAAAATATAGGATCTTCTTTCAATGCGCAGTAGGGAACGCAACGTTTACCGGCAGCCAGACGGGCCGCATGCTGTTCTAGAGAGCATAGTAAAAGATATATCAAAGAGCCTTAAAATACTTGGAGTCTTAAAATACTTGTTTTTCCGACATTGCTAGCTCTCGTACTGTTATTTTGGTGCTATGAATTATAACGTGTAAGATAATGATGGAGAAATTGTAATGGAAATTCAAACATTATTTGCTATGCGATATTGCCGAATTTTATTAAAAATTTAAAGCATGCTACAGTTTTAATAACTTACCTAATATTTTACTTTTACCTCGCTAATCATTTGCCATGCTTACCACACGTAGGAACCGGCAACCCTGCATTTCTTTGGACCTCTTATCTATCACCTAGTTATAATGTAACTCACCAACCTTTATTTTTGACTTACTCATTAAAATGTCCACCGATATCGCCAGTTTAAAATATGCCGGTATAGAGTTTTTTTATTATTTTTTAAAACAAAAAGTTCCTATATGTATATTCCATATACGCCCTAAAATGCTTCCTGAAGTAGTTACAGCCCTCGAAAGGATAGATGAAAATATATTTTGTTTATTTTTAAGAACATTGGTAAACCGTTTCTCTTGAAATTTGGTACTTTTACACATATTTTAATGCCCAAGCGAATGTCGATAGTGTAAAATTCCTTAACTGCCCTGAAAAGGTACTTTCCATTAGGATTAGGGTAGAGAGTATTACTTTTGGTACTTCTTTTATCCTTATAGATACAGTAATTTCAACAAATGGCGTAAAAAGCTAGGACTTTTCTACGTAAAAAAACGTACTCTTCGTTAAGTTCGACAAGGTGAACGGTTTTCAAGATATTTGCGTTTAAAGGTTATGATGCGACATATTAGTGAAATCATGAGATTAATTTATATTATAATTTCTAGATTTCATCATTTTGTTGATACTAAAATTGGCGCATCCTAACCTTTAAACGCAAATATCTTGAAAACTGTTCACCATATTGAACTAAATGAAGAGCACCCTTTTTAAGTAGAAAAGTCCTAGCTTTTTATGTCATTTGTTGAAATTACTGTATCTATAAGGATAAAAGAAGTACCAGCCGTAGTACGGTCCACCCTAAGGGAAAGTACCTTTTCAGGGTTGTTACCGAAGTTTAAACTATCGCCATTCGCTTTGGCATTAAAATGTAAGTAACCAAATTTGAAGAAAAACGGTTTACAAATGTTCTTAATAATACACAAAATATGTTATTTTTATTTACCCTTTCGAGGGCTGTAACTTTTTCGGGAAACATTTTAGGACGTATAGTAGCTTTTTGTTTAACTTTTATCTGTGGAATCACTCACCGAAGTTAGATGCACTATTTTTTTGACACTCTGAATAATTAGTTTTCCCTAATGGAAAAAAAATAATAAAAAAATCTGAAAAAAATTTGGTATTTTCTTTAAACAATGACTTATATCAACTATTCAAATAACACTTTTGACGCGCTTTTTTAGGATATTTAAAAGTATTACATATTTAACAATTCTTAAAAATGTCATAGTTTTCCATAAAAATACCCATAAAAAAATATTTCCATAAAAAAGTATCATTATAAAATTTCAGTAAATCAATTATAAAAGTAAAAAAAAACTTACCTGGTCCCTAGATTGCATATCTTTGAAATAAGTTATATTCTCACCATTTATAGTGATCTTTCCAGTACCTGGAACTTTCAGCGTAACAGTTCCCCTAGCTGACTTTCTCAAACATTCTACAAAAAAAATGCTTTTTAATTACAGTTGAGGTTTGGAACCTTTGGTGTTACACAGCAAAATAAAAACACTAAATCACCACAATACACCAAAACACTTTTACTTTTACACTAGACGCGCGTTTCGCTAACCATGTTAGCATCATCAGCAGATGATTATAAACTGAACAGTTTATAATCATCTGCTGATGATGCTAACATGGTTAGCGAAACGCGCGTCCAGTGTAAAAGTAAAAGTACCATGTTAGCATCATCAGCAGATGATTATAAACTGTTCAGTTTATAATCATCTGCTGATGATGCTAACATGGTTAGCGAAACGCGCGTCCAGTGTAAAAGTAAAAGTGTTTTGGTGTATTGTGGTGATTTAGTGTTTTTATTTTGCTGCTTTTTAATAACACAGAATATCTAATTCATAAATAAAGGAATATTTATATTTGATACCAATTAAGCTTTTAGTAACGATTTAGGGTGCGATTAGGGCGCGATTTTTAAATTCATTGTTACCAACCATGAACATATTCGCCACCGGGCTTACTAACTTGAATTTAAATTTCCCGCTGGGGATTCAGGTGGTAGCTCTGCTGTAAAAAATGTCAAGTTGACACACTTTAGGCCAGTGCAAATAATTTTGAATTTGCAAAATTTTTTAGAAAGCTGCGACCATTGAAAATAGTTAGCATTAGTAACCCTTATTATATACTAAAAGTCCCCATTTGTCCGGTGTGTGCGTCATCAAAAAAAAATCGGCCGCCATCTTGAATTTTGGTACTTTTTGGGAAAAAATGTAAATAACTCGAAAACGGTGCGTTATAGCGAAAAACTTCAAGAGGTAAAAATTAAAGTGAATAAAAAACTCTATCAGAATCAATAAAAAGTAGTTTATTATTCTAACGCAGTGGCGTACAAAACATTTTTGAAAATCGAGCAATTTTTAAAAGGAATCACGGCAAATACTAATTTTTTAAGCTTATTAACAAATAACATGGATATTTAGCATCAATTCTACTAAAATACAATCCTTGTGACATTTTCAAGAAATATTTATTGGTGGTTTAATAATATTTCAAAATTAACAAAAATTGTAAAAACTATCTTTTACTAAATACATGTGTATTAATAATGTGCGAAAGCTCCATCCTCCTTGTCCCGGTCGGGGCTATTTGCACTTAAACCAAGATCTTTTTGTTACCATTTTGTAAACAACTTGTTTTTAAAAATACAGTAACAGTTTGAAAAATTAGGCTACAAGTTGGAAGAAAAAATAAAACGTAATACTTGCGAATGTCTTTTTGACATAAATATCATCTACGATCTTAACACTTTTTCATTATGATAAATACATTATAAACATACCCCTACAAATCAAATAACAATAATTGAAATTATGACCATAGTTTATTACATCCAGATTTGCAATTACAGTAAATGATTTTCAATGCTAATTCTGGTGCCACTGCGTTTGACATTGTCTTTGAAACTAAGGTATCCGTTTTTTTACTCCATCCCCATTCTGTTGCCTCTTTTCCGTTATTTAGCCGTTATTTTTTCCGTTATTTATTTTTTCCGTTTTACTGCATTTGTAAATAGATCCTATAATAATGAGTTTCAGCTGCGTTGATTGTTGGAGGTAAGGTAGCTAAATCAAAAGTTTTACCAAGTGCCTGACGAGATGTAAGGGTTTTATATTTATAATACCTCAACTGATCTAAATCTTTTGCTAACCCATGTCGACCATATAATGAAAATAAGAATGTATTTCCAGCTTCGACTAGCTCAGATTTTTGTGCTGCAGGATCTAAAAAAACGGATGTAATTTGTCGCAGATGAGGATCTTTTTGCAACGTTTTAAAAGTCGCCAGTTTACATTTTTAAACAAGCACGAGGTTGTATCACATCCTGATATAACATGTGCAAATAAGATTGAATGATTCATGTCACCAGTCTTGTTCTACATATTACCGATGTCAGTTACTCTGTGAGGTTTGGACGATTTTCCAGGCCGAAGCATAAAAATAGAATTTTTTGTCCGATAGTGCAGTAACAAAAACTAATAAATCAGTATCTTCGCCAACTAAAGTAACCGACGCCGACGTAGAAGATTCATTTACTTTCGAAACATAATTTACTAAAACTAAAAAAAAAAAGTAACACTTACCTATTAAGTCTACTAAGGCGTAAACATTAACACTTCTACATCAAACTTCTACTTTTGGTTTTGCAATATTTAGGAAAAAGTAACAATAAACACTACTTACTAGTAACAGGCCTACTATGATTATGGCGACCGATATCAAACTCAACAGTTTATTTTTTATTTTATATTTTATTTTTATGTGAATGTTAATATTAAAGATAAGTACGGAAATTCAAAAAAAGTAACCTAGTAAATGACATTTTACACTCTCTACGATTTTCGGGTCGCGAATGCTTGAATCTAGAATATTTCCAGATTTAAAAATTCATAAGATGAATCTTCGCTGCCAGACTAAAATTAGTTTTTACCGAGTCTAATAGATTTTTTAATTCTCTTCAATTTTTACCTCTTGATGTTTTTCGCTAAAACGTACCGTTTTCGAGTTATTTACATGTTTTCCCAAAAAGTACCAAAATTCAAGATGGCGGCCGATTTTTTTGATGACGCACACACCGGACCATAGACTTAAAATAAAATATAGACTACACTATTTACATCTCAATGCGGACAAACAACCTTTTTTGTACACATGTTTACTTCTGGGTACAGTCGACCGAGCCTTCCTCATCCAGCCTATGTTGTCACGTCTTTAATATTATCAATATTTTTTTTCTTGTTATACACATATATTGAGATATTAATACTACAGTTTAATAAAGTAGGTTTTAATATTCCATAGATGTATTAAATAGTCCTTATACTACTAAATTATAAGTCGGATACTGTTTAATAAGGATAAGTTCTTTACAATATGACAACACCGATTAGAGGCGAGGGAGCCTATTCATTCATTTATTACCTTGTAGTACGTGTCGCACGTGTGCGGTAAAGCTTTGTTGCCGCTATCTCCCCGGCTGTATTAACGCATTCTCTTAGCTTGTAGTCCTTAAGTGTTTATTTTATTGACTTTTTCTGTTCAGGAACTATAAAATATGGTTCGCCAGTGCCAAATTTGCAAGAAATTTGACTTAAATAATCCATTTAAGTCTTGAAACGACTTTGGACCGGTAGGCAACTCTCAATTTACCCATTGGCAGTCAGTGGCGTTGTTGTAGAAAGGCGCTTATTTAGATAATATTTTAGTAAAATGTAAAATCTGAATTTTTTCTTTTACATTACATTATTTACTTACTTACATTGTAACAAAATCATAATTATAACCCTGTTAAAATTAATAATGTTTTTATTAAAAATATATTCCGGTTTATTCTAAAATTATCTTCAGAATCTAAAATAACGTACAAGAATTTTAAAATGATATTACATTATGAAACAATATTTTTTAATATACCGGGTCGTCTCAAAAGTGGCTAACCCCTATAACTTTTATTTTTTCAGAGATAAAAAACAGATTTGTATGTTAGTAGGTATATGACATAAATTAGGATTTATTGACGTATGCAATTGTTTTTGATCTCTTCCTGTTTCACCGAAATGATTACATCTTTTGATTTTTAAAGGCACCCTCGGTATATTGCTACTTTATTAGATAAAAAATGACGCTCTGAATAGAATGACATATCATATGTCAACTTTTGACATTGTCGCTTAAAAACATATCCTATTTTAAATTTCAATCCAGTTTTTTTCAATCCACTAAGTTTTAATCAAGGAGCCTTGGAAAAATAGTTTTGATCGTCTAATAGGTTTCGTGTCTTGTCTAGGCCGGTTAAAAGATGTACAAATCGTATTTTTAATCATACATATGTCATTTTTTCAAATGGAACAAGGGTGACTCATTAGCATATTTGGAAAAAGCATTTTTTTATGAATATATGTATTGATACCACACACTTGGTATTGCGAGTCAAATTGTCGTTATGAACCGCGTGTTACAATTACAATTAAACCATATGCGAAAATGTCAAAAGTTGACATATGATATGTCATTCTATTCAGAGTGTCATTTTCTATCGAATAAAGTAGAAATATACCGAGGGTGCCGTTTAAAAATTAAAAGTTATAGTCATTTCCGGTGAAACAGGAAGTGACCAAAAACAATTGAATGCGTCAATCAATCCTAATTTATTTCATATACTTACATACTAAATCTTGTTTTTTTATTTGAAAATATAAAAAAATTATGGGGATGAGCCACTTTTGAGACGCACCCGGATAATAAAGACAGTACCGAGTTAAATAAATGTAGTTTTTATTTTATCCACTTCCTATCACCTTCCTTGCTTTAATGGAACAGATTTATGTTTTCTCTAATTTACATAATAAGACATCACTTAACCAGAAAAAAATTTACAACAATCATATTTTTTTTTTCTCTCCCTGTCGCCGATTCTATTATATCTGTGGAATAGATCCTGTTTTGATTAATATTAGGGGTTGTAAATGTTTGACTAAAATTAATAATTTATTATTAATTTCTAAAATTACCTAATTTCGATTATAAAATTTCTTCTATAACGTGTATTTTATTATTTTTATCCTTTTTGGACTCTAAATTGTTTTTTTCTAAACTTTTATTTAAAAAACCTGTCCTAATCTTAATAAAATATAAAAAGTTTAAATACGATATATTTTCAATTTAATTATAGCTTCATTAAAATAAAAAATTACCCGGCTATGATACGGAGAGTTCAGGTGTACTTGAGAAACGAAAGACAGTGTTGTGTTTCTCGGCAGAGTCGTCAGGGAACGACCGTTACGACAGAGACAACCTATCTATCGCTCGTGTCGCACTCGTTATAACCTAAAACAATAACACAACAATAACAAGACAGTGTCTGACCGCATGTTCCAGCTATTTATGAATGAGATGCTCAGTCTATATTTTATTTTAAGTCTATGCACCGGACAAATGGGGACTTTTAGTATGTTAAGGATTACCAAGGCTTACTATTTTCAATGGTCGCAGCTTTCTAAAATTTTTTGCAAATTCAACATGGTGAATGTCATAACTGCCCCATAACCGGGGTACTTATTTATTTCCTGACATGGTCATTCGTTTTGACACTTTAGGTTTGTATTACGAGTTTTTAGTTTAAATAAATAGTGTTGTTATACTTTAAGCTTCAAAATGTTTACTAGCAGACCTTGCAGTCGAACATTGTTCTTTTTAGAACCTCTTTTAGTGCGAAGTGCACAAGATAACTTAATAGTCGTAAAAAACTCATCGCAACTTTATTAGAATATTTTGAACGAAAAAGCGGTAATACTGGCTCTTTATGTCCCTTAAGTGCTGTTAAGAAGGTGAGTTTTGTTGATGTAAATAATAAATATTTATATATTTATAATTAATTTATTTTTTGTTTCCTAAAATATTTTGATTACACGAAAATATGTAAAAGTGGGCAACGCTGTGCCAGTCAAGCTTAATCACGTTACTAAAAGTTTATTTGGTATGAACTGTATGTCATAATTTTTGACACTGTTTGTTAATCGATAGCAATAAATGTTGTGTTACGAAATTTCTTATGCAAAAGTTGATGAGAATTAAATTCTCTACAAATGAAACCTTTTGTGTCGAAAAATGCAAAGAGGGCGTGCAAATCGTAAAAAATATAAAATCCAAGAATACGGACCCTTCCCATATGAAATATATGGGCAAGGCTGTGATCATAGGCTGTGATTTTGTCATCTACTTGTCAAACATAAACTAAGTGCGTCAAAAGTTCCGACTTTAATTTTTTTGATGACAAAATCTAAATTGATTGGGCCTTTTTATTAGCCTGTTATTTGTACCTCCTATATTTTGAGTGACATTAAAATAATACAGAATTATTTGAAAAAAAATGAGACAAATAAAACTATTTTTTTAATGAAAATCGAACTTTACCCAACCCTGCTTCTTACTTACCATATACTGTTACAATTTGATTTCCATCCTGATCTATATGTGGTTTTATAGCATCGTATGTTTTTGTGTGGCTCATAAGGGGTTTATTGAATTGAAAAATAAATTCCTTTTCCCTGTAAGAATAGGGAAGTTGGCTTAATCTTTCCAAAGCATTTATAAAACTATTATAATCTCTATCTGACAAAGTTTCCACAACCTGAACTTCTAGTGCTCTTTTATCTATCCACTGATAACCAGAAATGTCTCTAGAAAAAAAGAATTAAAAGAATTAAGTATACATATTGAAAAAATATATTTACATACAAAGCCATGTTTGGATCAGGTTGAAGTCCTTTTCTAATCATTGCATCTTCAAAATGATACAACTCGTTCATCTTTTGTACAGCATCCTAAAAAACGCTGTTATTGAAAGGGTATCTTACAGGGTGACCCATTGTTACAAAAAACAGTCTGTATCAGGTTTCTGATTTTCATTCTTTTACATAATATGCAAATAAGAGCGGCGCACATATTAAAAGCATTTTTGTTAATATAAAGGGTGTCTCAAACAAATGCTCAAATTAAAGTTATACAGGATGGTCCGAACTGGATTCGGAAAACTTCGGCAACATATTCTGCAGGTAAAAATAAGTGAAAAAGTTCGTATAAATTTATATCCGTGAATACTTCATTTCGGAAATACAGGGTGTAGAAGTTTTAAGTACATTTTTGTTTCGATTTTTTCCAAATAATTTCTAAACTAATATCAATATTTAGACGAAAATTGGTGTCTGTATATGAAAAATTTGATTTAGATGTCAATATGACTCCTACTTGTAGAGGGCGCCACCTACATATTTTTTAACTGGTTTGAAGTTTGAAGAGTAATAACTTTTCGTCTGTACCTTATAAAACTACATTTCCGCCATTTTTTACGTAAAAAAGGCCCCTTGGTAAAAATGGCTACAAGTAACCATTCTCAAAGTTATCTGAATTATAAATTATTAAAACATGTCACCATTGACAAACAATAAACCTGCCAACTAGATAGTTATTTGCCTGAAATAATAAGTTTCGGAACTTATAATTTTTTTAAATGAATCATATTTTTGATAGAAAAAAAAGATGGTGAAACAGTTTCTGTTGAACCTTTGACACAAAAACATTTAAAATTTATAATTATTACAGTCTAATAACTATCTAGTCAATATAATGTTCAATTTTTGTCAATGATTCCAAATACCTCGAGAACCATTACTCATAGCGATTTTTACCATGAGACCTTTTTTACGTAAAAAGACGGAGGAAATGTATTTTTTACTCAGCAGTTTTATACAGGCACGGACAAAAAATTATTACTCTTCAAACTACTTAAAAAATATGTATGTGGCGCACCCTATAAGTTAGTCATATTGACATTGAAATAAAATTATATTCATGTCAAAGAACTCAAACACCAATTTTCATCCAATTATCGATGTTAATTTATAAATTGTTTGGAAAAAATAAAATAAAAATTAAACTTCTACACCCTGTATCTCCAAATAGAAACACTTTAGGAAATACATTTATAACAAGTTTTCTACGTATTTTTATCTTAAGAATGTGTTATTACACTATTTCGCTAACAAGAGAAAAAAAAGTCAGTGGCGTACATGTTTTTTTTTAGAAAACTATTCCAGTAATAATCCATATGCACGTCCCCGGTGAATATGTTATATGTTAAAATATGTCACATTTATAGTATTTTTTACCCTCAAAATTTCATTTGAAGCCCTAAAAGTACTTGGAAGAAAATTATAATAAATCGAAAAAATATTAAGACTTAAACACCCTGTAGCTACGAAACAAAACAGAATCGGACCTATGCACAGTGGTTCCCAGATAGGTCATTACTTAGAAATATTAATTTCAAAATGTTTGCATGAAACTGTTACTAATACTTTTCTTATATTCCCCTGTAAACGATACATAATAAATAACAAAATCAAGTAAGCCTAGTGTAGCGCTTTTTTTATTAGAAATATCACATTTTTGCTACTGATATCAAGCTGACATAAACAGTTTTCAGATAACGCCAATTAATTACTTATTTTATTAAAACTGATAAAAGCTGTTGCCTTTTCTGTAATGGACGTTCGAAAAGAAGGTAAAAAGAACTGTTTTTTCTTTTTTGCACTTAATTAAACCTAAGTAATATTAGTTTATGGCAATTTATTTGAAGGCAACAAAAATAGTGTTTTTTCATTTTTGCTTGTCACTATTTAAGACTTTTAACTACTTTCCCTTTGAAATCCTCTTAAAAGGCATGATAATACTTGTTGCTTAAAGTATATTGCATATAAATTAATTGCCACTGGCTGCCGCGAATTGCCGCCGCATCTTATACGGGGTGATTAAAGATTGACTTTTTGTCTTAAAATAAAAGTAACTTATTTTTTCCTCTTCGTGTCAACTTATTTCGTGGACACACTGTATATCAATTGACAATAAAATTGTATTGATAAAATGAAACAACTGTCTCTTTTATTTTTTCAGCATTTAAAATTTGACCTCTTCAATATAAAAAAAACACGTACCATATGTGCAAACATAATCTGTATATACCTTTCCGAATAGTTAGAACTTAAAATGCAAATCACACGAACTGGGCCCAATTTTTTTAATACATATTACATTAAGTTTTTTATATACATTTATTTAGTATTTAGCATTTATTTAGCACTGTGCTATGTGGATATGAAAAATAAATCTAATTTTTATATGAGGAATCTCCCTGGTGGCACATGTTTTTTGAAATACCCTGTATACTAAGTTTTTTTGGAATATGATCAGTTTTAAAATAAATTTGCTACTTATATTTAAGCTCTCTCAAAATTCTAAAATCATTTTTTATATAGTTTCTAACTGGAAGTATTGTATAAAAATGTCTTCTTTAAAAGTCTAAAATCAATATCTACTCAGAAAACTTCTTTTTTTTTTGAAAAATATATTTATCTTTTTTGGCATTCCCTTTTTTAACAGTAAGTCTGTGTCATTAAAATTGACATACCTAACTGCAACAGAGTAGAATTAAACTGAAAACTTTTTAATATCCTCAATACCGAATGATTCAATTGGAAAATTCATAAATACAATTTATTTCAGAGATGCAGACAGAAATAATTATTGTCAAATAAAAAATTAAAAGTAAAGCTGGTTAAAAACCTTTTAAAAACTAAGTTCCTATTATACGTCATAAAATTGATAAAATACAGAATGTTCCATTCAAATCAGTGGAGATAATTAGAACATTCAGTTTTGGACTCACCCCGCATATAACATATATACCATCGTTTTTACTTCACCTAATTAATTCAGAATTTTATAATTTTAGGTGTTCTAAAACTGCAGAAAATCTCATCGATCAGAGAATGTCATTAGAGAATATAGCCTTGTATATTAATATTTTTAAAATGTGCAGCATCACTGATTCATGTATATTTTATAAAAAAGATTGGAGTAAATAATATCCAACCAAAAACATGATACAGAAAGCTGGGTCACTCTGTATTTTACTTAAACATATACATATAATATTTGATAAAAGTTTGGCCTCCCTGTATAAAATAGAAAATGGTATGGTCTACCAGTTTCATCAAATTCAGCCGCTTTTCTCTGAGGAAATACTTCTTCTGGAGGTTTCATAAGAGGTCTAGCTTTTTTATCATACAAGCCACTTGGAAATAGGTACTCTATAGCCTCCTATGGTAACACAATTAATAAAATAACTAGTTTAATTATTTTTTCAAACAACTTACATCAATATCTTTTTGTGTAAAAGTTTCAGGATTCTCACCCATCATATTAGCCAAATGCCGCTTACCAATTTCATATTGGTGTTGTTGTTTGGCCATAAACTGGTTGTGTTCCCTAGCTCTTTCTAAGTACGCTTTCATAGCTTTACTTACATTCTTTTTCTGTTCTACTTCAGCCACGGGTGTAGAAATCTTGCTAGTAGTTGGTATTGTCGAAAATGTTCTCGTCTAAAAATAATAAGTTTCAAAAATAATATATTAAAAATGAATAAAGCCTATACTCCAAATATAAGTAAACTTGTCGATACATTATTATTTAAACTTAGAGACCGAAACGGCTCATAGAGAACATTAATTTTACGAATCATTATTTAATTTTAAATAGTAACAAAATTTTAGATGAATTTAACCACACATCTTCTTCACCCACAAAAGTAGTAGTAGTAGTAGTATATTAGTTTAATGGCCACAGCTGCCAGGGCTATCCGGCCGGATGGTAGAATTAACTACCTACGGTTGAGCGTTTATATAGATGATGACACACAGACGAGGATCGCTATAAAGCGAGCCTGGGAAATCCCATACCCCGACTGTTGAGTTGAAGAAAATGTTGGCAAAGGAAGATCCTGCAAAATAAACAAATTTAATAACAATTTCATTTAAAATGTCAAAGATTAATTCCACAACTATCTAAGAATTCGCCTATAATATTAACTACAATTGGATGAGCATGCAAAGCGGAGGTAAAATTATGAGGGGATGTTTTGTAAAAGCCAATAAGTGATTTATATAGTTTATCTACTAAAGCGGGAAATTTATTGCATTCAAAAAAGATGTGGTTTAACGTTCCAATTTCTCCACACTCACATAAGGAATCTGCATTTACACCTATACGATGTAAATGGGACGGAATTAGACAATGTCCGCTTCGTAATAACACTCTTCACCATTCTTCATTACAAAAATGATGGCGACAGCTGCCAATTGAATTTTTTTCTCAAAGTTCCAGACAGACGTTCACCGGTTCATCCATGGTTCATCTATTTAAAAAAAAAACAGGTGATGGTCTGGAACCAATGTCTGGAACAGAGACTCGGCACCAATAGCTCAGCACTCCATTTTCTCTCAGCAGAGACTGAAGTCACTGAAGAACGAAGAACTTCTAAAACCTGCTTAAAATACAAGAGCCCATCCCTACATAATGGCTACTGCTTTGGGCTACTGCTACAGATAAACATTCTAGTGGCATAAAATATGACTTCTTATTTTAGGTTGGCTGTGATCACGTGACTTATTAATCAGCTTTTTTTCTGTCAAATCTGTCAAAAAAGTATAGTGCGAGTGCGGTCGAACCGCGATTTCTTGCTCGACCGGAGGTTTTGTTTAGTAAAAAACGTTAAAATTCAAAGCAAATCTCATAAATACCAGACGAAATGGAAATTAGAAAAGTAATAGATTTGTTAAGGGCTACAATCGACCCGAATCAAAGGCAACAAGCCGAGACCCAATTAGATCAGGTAAAGGAAAACATGTGCTCAAGCCTTTTTATTAACAGATATTTTATATAATAAACAATTTTTTAAAGTATGCGTTCCTAAAATCTTAAAATAACGCATCTAAATATACAACTCTAGAGATTTTCTCCTTGTTTCTGAAGCCTGACTTGATTCTCATATTCTTAACAATGCATGTTAATAAATCTAGCATCGAATTTTTTAATGAAATTGTAATTTATTTTTGCATTATTACAGATACATAAGATCATAGGATTTGCTCCAGCGCTTCTTCAAGTTGTCATGATGGGAGATTGTGACATGCCAGTGAGACAAGCTGGTGCTATCTATTTGGTATGCTAGATACATTATTTAAGGCAATTCTATCTTTTTAATATATTTTTGTAGAAAAACCTTATTTCCACTAATTGGCAAGATCGAGAGGCCGAAGCAGGTCAGCCTGTACCATTTGCTTTACACGAACAAGACAGGTAAATGAGAAATATGCAATTTTTAATTGTTATTTTTTTTTAACTAATTTTTTTATAGGGCTTTGATTAGAGACAGTATAGTGGACGCAGTTGTACATGCTCCAGATTTAATTCGTACTCAACTTTGTACATGTGTAAATAATATGGTAAAACATGATTTTCCTGGACGTTGGACTCAGATTGTTGATAAGGTAATGTAAAGAAAATTCCTTTGAACAAATACAAACATTGCTTATTTATTATACATTTTTTCTAACCTAACCTAACCAAAATATTAATGCTGGTATTATAATTTTAGATAAGTGTGTACCTTTCAAATCCAGATCCTGCTGGGTGGCTTGGAGCCCTACTTTGCCTTTATCAATTAGTAAAGAATTTTGAATATAAAAAAGCTGAAGAAAGGGGCCCCCTTCACGAGGCTATGAATTTATTACTGCCTCAATTATATCAGTTAGAAGTAAGATGAACATTTTTTTAGTTATAATAATTTAAATAAGAGATTCCTATTTCTCAAGTTATCATAAAATTCAAGTAATATATTTTAATGTAAAGTAGACAAGAACTTAACCCTGAAACAGTTTTTTTGCTATTTACATTTTAACAATTTTTTTTTGCCATAGAAATTTTTACAAAAATAAATATACTTTATTGTAACCTATACAAAAAACAGGACTTACAAAAAGTGATCTTGAAGCAAGCTATCCTATCTTAACCTATACAAGTAGGAAAAATATTCTATAAATAAATGTATTAACCTACATTTGCTATCAATTCTATTGAAAAAACATTTTTTTTTTAAATTTATACACATTAAACTGTTAACTTATACTAGTAAATAAATACCAACTAGATACAAAAAGAATAAAGAATACAGGGTGTTTCAAAAAACCATCTTCAAAAACCTTCATGTGCCATCTCTCCTGGGGAGATTCCTCACATAAAAATAAGATCTATTTTTCATATCAACATAGGTCCCATTCTGCTTTGTTTCCTAACTATAGGGTCTTAAAATCTTAATAATTTTTTGATTTATTATTATTTTCTTTCAAGTGATGAATGAAATTTTGAGGGTAAAAGTTACTATAAGTGCTACATATTTTAATGGTAAAAAAGTGTTGATAACTTCATCAGGGACGTGCATATAGATTTTCACTGGAATTTTTTTCAAAAAAAATTATGTTCGCCACTGACTTTTTTCTTATGATATCAAAATTGTGTAGGCCAATTAAACGTTATCTCTTGATATTTTGTCGAATTCGGCCTCTTTGATGAGATAAACGCTGTTTTATTAATCACAAATAAAATAATCAGTCAACCTACAGCAATTTCAAATAAAAAATAATGGTATTTTAGATAATTACAAAAAATCTCATTTCAAAAAGTTTTAACATCCTGTAACTCTAAACCTATGCATTTTCATACCCACATTTATAGGAACTTTTTTCATATTTTTTGATGAGGAATCAATGAGTACTTATTTAAGATTTTTGCAAGTTCATGATATTAATTAAAGGTTGCTATTAGATTTGGATCAAGGCAAATTAATAAAATTGCGTTTATCTCATCAAGGAGGTCGAAATTGACAAAATATCAAGACACAACTTTCACTTGGCATTAAATTGCTTACACTATGTCACTAACAAGAGAAAAAAGTCAGTGGCGTACAGGCTTTTTTTAGAAAAATATTCTAGTGATAACCCATACGCACGTTCCTGGTGAATATGTCGACACTTTTTTAGCTTTAGAATATGTCGCATTTATACTAACTTTTACCCCCAAAATTGCATGCGAAAGTTTCCTAGTGTTGAAACGATTCCGATTACGATTAACCACCGATTATTAGATTTTTCCGATTAATCGTAACCGCCGATTTTATATACAATTATTGATATGATTATTGTAATATTAAAAGTTTTAAAACCACTGGTAATTCCGCGACAACTCCGCCATGCTACTATGACTGTGTTACGGCGTACGACTGTAAAGGCAAAAACGTTTTAGTTTTAAATCATAGATCAAGGGTTTCACCGCGCAGACATAGGTATTACGGAGTTATTTTATTTTGCAATGACGTCAAGAAATCATATATATATTAACTATTCTTCATATGTATATGCAAGAAATAAACCTTCTGGTTGCGAGAAGTGATATGTGGCGACATTTTATAAAAGTAGCGGATAATCCAAATAAGGCAAGGTGTAAATACTGCATTCGTGAAATTTCTAGGGGCTCTGGGGGGAGAGCAAAAAAAGTGGTTTTAAAGAAGAGATTGAGAGATACCTAAAGGCACCTAATTTAGATCATTCAGCAGATGTTTTAAAGTACGGGTCTGAAAACTCTTTGTATCCAAACTTTAAGAAGTTGGCATTGAAATATTTGTCATTCAAACCATCCTCTGTGTAGTCAGAAAGATTGTTTTCTACAGCAGGAAACATTCCAACTCCAAAGAGAAATTGACTGGGTTCTGAAAACTTAAAAATGTTTTGTTTTCTTAATAAAAATTTAATATCTCTTAATTTTCAATATTAAATTATATTATACCAAAAACAGGTTTTTATAAAATAAATTATATATACCAAAAACGTTAGTTTCTTTTATAAATTATATGAAATATATACTTCTTGTCGTGAATATATGAAATATATATATATATATATATATATATATATATATATATATATATATATATATATATATATATATATATATATATATATATATATATATATATATATATCGTAATCGTAATCCTACGATAATTTCGGTTTTAATCGTAATCGCAATCGTAATCGTTTAACAGTAATCGTTTCAACCATGGAGGAATAAGAGAGGGGAGATGCTACTACACGTATTTCTGTAGGATAAAAACAGACTCACTTCGTTGTTTGGGCGGGGCCAAAAGTGGACCCTTTGGACAGGACCTAATTAAGTAAAACTTCAAATAATAAAAACAAACAATGATTAAAATTTGCCGTGAGCTAATGTAAAATCATTGTGTAATATTAATCGTGTGTATCGCAATGAACAAATTACTTGGCACCAAAGTTAAAATAGGCATAAAATACTAATTAATGTTCATTCGTTAATTCGGTCATTACGGACCTGCGCGCTGTTTATGTTACCTCTGAAATGTTACGCCGGTGAGTTTCTTCGAGTCGATACCTTTCCTGCTCTTACAACTGCGTACAGCACACGACACCATGGTTTTTAAAGTTTTTGTAATAGAAAACACTCAAATTATCGATGAAAAACATTAAATTTTGAGAAAAATGCACAAATTACAAAAAGGACCACAATCTAATATGGCGGGCGGCTAGATGAACCTCTTTTCGCAACAGCTGTAGCGCCTCCCCTCTCTTATTCCTCCGTGGTTTCAACACTATGCGAAACACTATAAGCACTTGGAAGAAAATTATAATAAATCGAAAAAATATTAAGACTTTTATACCCTGTACAAAACAAAGCAGAATCGGACGTTGTTGATATGAAAAATATGTTGATCTGAAAAATAAATCTTATTTTTACGTGAGGAATCTCCCCCAAGAGATGGCACATGTTTTTTAAAACACCCTGTATAAAGATCTAATAAACAGGGCGATTTGAAATGTAATGAGAAACCTTCAGCAACATATTCTCCAGATAAAAATATGTAAAAAAAGTTCATGTAAATTTATGTCCTAAAAAATGCCTATACCTCTGTGGCGAATTCATCTCTTCCAAAAAAATTTTTTGTCTTAAAATGCTTTGTTTCAGAGACAGTTTTAGTCATAATTTTTTCTAGAAAAATTTATGATTAATTTAAAACAATAAAATGTTTCCAAATATTTGAGTAAAATAACTCTAGTCAACATGTTTTCCGTTTTAGTAAAATAACTCTAAACATGTTTATTTTTTATATAACAATTTTTATTGATTCAATGATTCACTGGTGTCAATATCAGACTCAAACAACGCAATTTTAACAGTTAAGAAATTGAAGGTAAAATACGAGATCATCATTCTCGTACATGGCAAAAAAACTGACGACAGAAAGTTGCTCGTCGCTGCACACAGCACTGTGATCCAGAAACACAGGCACTTCTACCCGCCGAGACGAGTCGCGCGAGTTAGCCGCCGGCTAATCGGCGAGTGCCGCCGGGTTTTCACACTTTGGTGTGGTCCCAGCATAAGAAATATTTAAATGAAATTTCCAAATGTTTTCATTGATATTGTTTCGTTTTTCGTTGGTTCCGTGTAGCCGCCGGCTTTTATACCCACAGCTAAAGATTTCTCGAATAATTCATAGATCGTTAGGTGCATAGAGAAGGTTTCGAACGTTCTCATGTCCATGGTTAGCAAAAATGAATTAAAAATCGCGCTCTCGATTACGTAACTAAAAAATTAATTGGTTATTCACTTGCTAAATCAATTTAACAATTTTTGGCAAAAATCATAAAAAGTGAACAAAAAGAAATAGAACTATTAAACTTTTCAGTCAACACTAACTATAAGTTATGTTTACTTAAAAATTAATTAAAAATACAATAAATAATTTTAATGTTTTATTTGCTTATCAAAATATGATTATTAAACCATAAATCCTGAACATTTTATTAACATAGGTATCTCTATCAGATATTTTTTAAATTATTTAATAATTGAAATTTTTCAAAACCTTCTTTTTGTATAAGAAATTGTAAAAATGAAGAGTTTGAAAGATTATCGCATGGTTGAATTGTTGGCTATATTAAAATATATGAACTTCAATTCTATGTCGAAATGGAAAATAGAGGTAATCTTGCGCAGATATGTATTATATTTATTAATATTCTTGATCTAGGTAAGACTGTTACCAGACCAATCTGAACAGGCAGTCCTGTTACAAAAGGAAGGATTGAAAGTGTATTTTGCTCTGACTCAGTATATCTTGCCTATGGATTTAATTACTAAAGAGGCCTTCGCACAATGGATGGAAGTTTGCAGACAAGTAGATATTTTGTTCTTTTAATATTATAAAAATCATATGGCTTCCGGTGAACTATCCACACACACGGTTTTTCCGTTTTTTGCGGAAAATGCAGATTATTCACGGAATTTCAAAATATTTTAATTCAACTTTAGTACTGTTTGACACATTTGACATTTCGTAGAATTTTAACACATGATTTGACATGCCAAAAGCAGGCCACTCACTAGGGAGCATGTTGCGCAACATGCTTCTCAACAGGTTTGTCAACAAAAATCACCCAGCCACACACTCAAGAAACATGTTGCAAAACTTCAGTTGACAAAACGCGAAATTTTAAGGTTATCTATTAACTAGTAGTCACGTCGTGGCTTTTCGGTTTTGTCCTGGGAGTCTGCAATTTTCTATGACGTGCATTACCAAACAGAAAGAAAAAACAAAAGAGTGAAACCAAAGCAATCAAAACGCTGTAAGCGCTTTGTTTGTTACTAGAGCTATAGCTAGACATTAACCTAACTTAAAGTCCACCAAACCAACCGCGAAATCATTACTTTTCCCTCCTGGAAAATGCATCCCTTTTTTTATGGCGTCCCTCCATAAAAAAGGGTATGCATGAAAACTAGGCTTAAATTCCGAATAATTTACTATCTGGAGTTGATGACCATGTATCAGTCGGCAATGTTTATCAAAATTCAACCTTTACTACTGTCAACAGACAGATAAAGGAAACAAGTCTAGATTGGAATCCTTGGCTTGCCGCCGAAACATAATTGTTTTGGAGCGCATACGTTGTAGGGCGCTGCTATAGCGGTTGCTAAGGACAACCGCCAAACAAGAACAGAAATAATTTTCTCAAATAAGACTATATTGCTAGTAAGGAACAGAAATTGAAGCCAAATTTTTGAGATGACACTGACTCTGTACAAAATCCACATAAGTCGGTCCTTTTCGTTCAACAGCTTTGAACTACGCAAGCGTGAAAACTGCTTCGCGATTAGTTGATTTATTTCATACCAACCAAAAGAAATAGTTTTCTGAGTTTCTATCTACCACGTAAATCAATTTAGCGTCTGACTACTTTTCGCGCCTTTACTTATAAATTTAAATTTAATCTCTGACATATTTAAACATAGAAACGGATAGATATATCTATTTCATGAATATCTAAAATAACAGGTTGAAATAATGCCATTACGAATAAAAAAAATAATATATTATATGTTATAAATATTTACAGTTTAAAATAGTGTGCAGGCAGGTGACAGCGTTCAGCGAAGTAGACGAATTAGATCATTTCATTTGGCGCAAGCGCACGAAAATCCTGTTGAACCAAAAGGATAGACTTATGCAAGATTGATATTCCTATTTCATTTCTTTGGCTTCAGTTTCCACTCATTGTGTAAATGCAGTACTAGTCTTATAATATATTTGAATTTTCTCTTGTTGAAGTCAGAATCTTCAAGAATTATAAAATCTTTCAAAATGTAAACCGCCCTCATTGAAAAAATACCGAAAAGTGTTTAAAGCGTCCATTTTCCAAGTAATTATTACTATCTTATGAGTTTAATTTAAATTTTATTTACTCAAACCTGTAATAATTTTGAAAAAGTGGCATTAAAAACTTACAAACGGCTTTAAAAATCTGTGTGAACTGTGCACTGCAAAAACCATTGTTGATCGTGGCATAACGTCGGTTTCCAATGTTTCATAGGTATTTCATACATGTCTTCATATAAGATAAGGTTTCTTGTATGTAACACACTGTATTTTATTAAAAAAATTAAGACAAAATAATAATAAAATTGGATATATAATATTTGGCGACATTATTCCAGAAAAAGCCCAACCGCTCCGAAACTATCAAAAGCTTTGGAGAGCGACCGGTCGGTGTAAGAATAGCGCCAAATAGTATTTACATTGTCCTTATGGGCACTTTCCAATCTAAACTTGTTTCTTTTATCTTTGACATATATAAACAAGTCCGCGACTATCATTTGCTGTCCTCCATTCGCGAATTTCAAGTTCCAGAGCTTTACGCCCTGGGCTACTCAGAACGGTTCTGAAAGGAGCTGGGCCCGTATTCTGTAACTTTGAAAACGCTAAGCGCTTTTAGACGCTCAGCGTACATGACGTTAATTTTCGCTGAGCGCGCACTTAATTAACGATTTCGGTATTCTCGTCTGACGCGTTTAGCGTCTTTACTGATTGCGCTGAGCGCTTTGAAAACGGTTGCCTTAAAGGATTGTTTTGCGACTGTCATTCGCATTCCTCAATTTTCTGTTTTTCGAAACATTTAACACCAAGTATCTCTGGAACAAAAGGTGTGAATCTCAAAAACGATACCGTTTTTGTAAAGTACACATTCAGCGCTACAACATATTACGAAATAAACAAAATCGATTTTCCAAAATTTTTGTCGCAACGTTTATTTTGTCGAACTGTCATTCACATTCCTCAATAAGTAATTGATAATTTACGACTTGGCAGCTATAAATATTGTTCAAAACATCGAAAATGCTGAGAAGACTCTTCAACACTTCCCTCGTATAATAAGAATAATGACATATCCATAAAAAAAATAGCTTGACATAACTCAACAATAGGTTATGAAATTCACGTAACATTGACATTTTTTATTGTTACATTCGTCAGTTATCAACTTTTGACTATTAGCTACATTCGAAATTGTGATGTTGCCAATATGTGCTCAACGCGTATCCAGAACACGATTCGCATGGCGACGAGAATACCAAAATCGACTGCCTTGCGTTTCGCTGATCGAATACTTGCGCTCACCGCTTTGAAAGCGTAACGTTTTTATGTCAAAGTTACAGAATACGGGCCCTTGCGCGATAGCCTGGGTGCCTTCATATGGCGCGGAACAGTTCTGAACTTTATGACTCAATTGAATGGAGTGAGAGTATCGCGTTCTTGTACAGTTCAGAGCTGCACAACTGCGTGATTGGAGGACAGTAATTATCGGTTATAGAATTTGGTATAAAAAATAATGTAACAGCATCTTTTAAAATATTTGTTATGAGAAACATATTTTTCCACATCAAAGTTTATTCAAATAATCTAAGAAGTGCATTTTGAGGTAAAATAGGCTTAATTTTCTATAAGAAATATTTGTATGGATAGTTCACCGAAACCAATTATATCTACAATATAATTAGGTAAACTATTATCTAAAGCAACGCTACAATTTTTAGGTCGTGGAAAGACCAGTTCCACCTGCAGCTTTGCAACCCGATGAGGATGAAAGACCTGACCTTCCATGGTGGAAGTGTAAAAAATGGGCCCTACATATTCTTTACAGGATGTTTGAAAGGTTGAATTTAAAAATAAACAGTGACAGAAATATTTACTACGAATTTGACTTTTTTAGATATGGATCTCCTGGACACGTCTCGAAAGAATACAATGAATTCTCGGAATGGTATCTTCAAACGTTCAGTACGGGTATTCTCGAGGTGCTTTTAAGAGTACTGGATGGTTATAGAGGAGGGCATTGGGTTCCACCTAGAGTGCTTCAACAAACTTTAAATTATCTTAATCAGGTAAATGCCTTATTATTTTTAATACCATAATATATATAAATCATGTCATCTATGAAAAATAATGAAGATTACAAGTCCAGCGTACAGCTGTTAAAATTCTCCATACAGAAAATGATTTTTTTGTCATTTCCTGAATACCTTCAAATTGTCTCTACTTTTTCGTATTTCTAAAGGTGCGTCCACATTGCTCGAGATCCTGCTCGTGCTCTTGCTTCTGATTGTGCTTGCGTTGTTTGCGCTTCTTGTTTGTCGTGTTTCTTAAGATCTTTCGGCTCGCAAGCAACGGTGTCCACATTGTAATGTAGTGCTGTTCGGACATGGATGATACCGAAGTATTTTTAATAGCGGCTGCTAGTACGATCATTATTGCATAACGAAGGAGACAAAGAGAAAAATAGGCGGTGTTGGATGTATATAATTTCAAAAGTAGATCCCAGCACAGTGAAAGTTAACATCTACGCGATTTACAAACAGACAATGTTTTTTTAATATTTTTTATCGCATATCCGCTACTGATTTTGAATGACTTATAACTTTATTGGGTCCCCCGTATAAGAAGAACAAATACAACTTTTAGGAAGTGTATTCCGGATAAGGAAAGAGTTAAATAAAGATAACGCTAAGATTCTTTGCTACTAGAGACTCACATACCAGTTTGGGTTATTTATTCAAAGTTTCCAAGCAAAGCATTTCAAAAATAATACCAGGCGTATGCTAAAATATAAATAAGTTCTCAAAGATCAGATTAACATAAGTAGGCAATATAAATGTAGAGTTATATTTTATTAAAGGTATATTTAATATTATTAATCCAAGATCAAAACACATATATTTGCAATTCTGAACAAAATAACTACTGCAAATCATACTACAGTAAATACCGAATCCTATGAATGAAACCAAACTAAAAACTTAAGAAACAACGCAAACATCTCGAGCGCTTCGAACCGCCGCACGGTGGGATATTAGCATGAAAAAGGTGATCGAAATTCGAAAAAGCAAATGTGTTTAAGATTTCCCAAAAAAAGATAAATGATAAGTTAAATCGTGTCTGCCATGAATGGCGTTGCTATGGGTGTGTTTAGTTGCATTCATTTGTTTCAACGAAACGTCAAAGTTGTTGCTTCTCACAGATAAGAGGTAAATGGCTAAATTTTATGTTTAAAATTATAAATTGTTGTTGTTCTTGTGCTCTTTTTACGTTTATATTATTGTTTTGATTGAAAATAGCTCAGCAAGCTGCAGGTATCTATTCTACAAAAACCTATTATTTATTTTGATATTCTCTATACAAACGATTTTTTTTGCAACTAAAAGTTAGGCGTTCAGAAAATTTGATTAAATTTGTGACATTTTTATTATACTTAGAGATTTAGTTGCGCATTTCGAAGAATTCAGCATATTGTCTATATACGTTTTACTTAGTAAACATTGGGTTTTCATACAGTAAAATAAAATACTGCGACTTTTTGCGATTTTGCTGATAAAATGAGAAAAACATTCTTAGTTTCCTCTAATCTGCCAATCAGTGATATACTAATGCGAGGTGTAAACCGCGATGGCATTGTTGTGTACAAAGCGATCGCATTAGTGGCATTAGCAGTATAGCACAATTTGGCATTAGTAGCGACTTTAGTGGTATGGGCATTGGTCGCGGATCAGTCGTAGCATTAGTAGTATTAGTTGCGATATTACTACTGGGATTAGTGGCATTGACTGTGGAAACACTGGAACAGCGATTTTTCTTTCTTTTTTTAGAATCGACGAATTATCCTTTATTTTGTTCATATTATTTCCTCTTTAATTGAAAATAGCAATAATTTATATAAGGTCTTCATAAAAAAATTTCGATCAACTATCCGTGTCAAATACCCCACTGTGCGCCGGCGCCGTAAAGTATACTCGCATGTCTCCGAAGCGTCTCTTTGATGTACCGCGACAGAGCCGAACAGTCGAAACAGGCATTTTATGAGACTGCAAGCACGTGGAGCACCGCGAGCGTCGCGAGCGCCGCGAACATCTCGTTCCAACTGTTTGCCATGTTTTTCGTGTTTCACGTGTTCGTTCGGCCTACTCGCGAGCAACGTGGACGCAGCTTAAGATTAAGCCTTTTTAGGCGTGAATTTTCTGGGCAAATACTTCATTAACAACGTCTTTATCTTGTAATGGTTAAGAAACCACAGTTTAAATCGAGTGTCTTAAAGAAGGTTTAAACGTAATCCCGACTTCGGGATTTGTTGTTTGAAGATTTGGATAAAATCGCGTTTAAAACAATAAAAACTGGTTTAAACCATAACATGTTTTGCTGAATAATAAAAAAAAAATTTTTTTTCAACCCTGTTGTTAGAAACGATTGTATTTCCATGACTTTGCTTCAGTCTCTTATGCATGAATATAAAAATAAAAACATAGTAATAGCCTTCTTCCTAATTCTTTTTTATTCAAAAAAAAATATATTTTTTTATTGAATAATTGCCTGTGAATGATTGGCGTACCTAGAAATATACTTTTTTACATTTTAATATTAATTTTTGACAATTTTTTGTGTTAATTTTGTTAAACATACAAGGTGGCGCCTCTCATACGCTGCGGAAGCTCCAAGGAGAACGGTAGTTTGTATCGAAATTAAATATTGGCAGCATAAGTAGGTTAACTAAAAGCATTTTATAAACATATATAGAATTATACAGGGTGTCACCAAAAAAAGTTACACATGAAAGTTGTGTTTATTTTCTAATGGAACACCCTATATATTAATTGATTTTCGGATTCTAGGAAAAAAATAAAGGTGAGTTTTATTAAAGAAGCATATACCTAAAATCTAAGGGTTTTGACATATTTCACATTTTGTGAAAATGAAGAGTAAATTTTAAATTTCGATAACAGCTACCTAAATTTTAGTAGACCTTGTTAGCCTGATATTTAATTACTGTAACTATTGTATGTTAAACCAAATTGACATCTGACCCAAAGATCTGACCTGAAAAGTTATACAGGGTGAGACAATATTAATATGGAACATTAGTCACTTTGAAAAGCAAGTTACTCCTTTATTTTAAATGGATCACGCAATATATTATTCCAGTGTTTAATGGGGAATTTATATATCTTCAAAATATTATTAGGGTTGCCTACCCCTCAGACAAAGATTTTCCCAGATATTTTAATTTTTATGATTTTGCGTCAGTAGATCTTTATAATTTGAAAAAATCTAGATGGCTGTGATATACCTTTTGTTAATTTAACAAAAATTAAAGGATGTAGAGTAAAATACTCAACGGCAATAAAAAGATACGCGTTTTAAAACATATTTTAATTATTACAGAATTAAAACTAGATATAAACCTATAATTATGTGACAAAAATTAGCTAGATGAAATCAAATGCTCAAAATGCTTTCTTTCCTGTTAACTGCATAAAATGATTGTCTTTTCAAAGGATCTTTTCATTTTAAAAGGCATATGTGGAGTTTCTACCTCGAAAAACAGCTACAATAATTTATCTCATGTTGTCGACAATAGTTGGTAGAGTTTTAGAAACACTGTCTTTAACATATATCCATAAAAAACAGACTAGATAACACACTGCATTCATCTACTAATAAAATCATATCAATTCTCTCTGATGTAGGATAAGTTTGCATTTTCGGCTAATTTCTGAGATTTTTTTTTGTTTTAACTGACACCAAACCAAACCAAACTAGTTGTAAAAGTTGGACTAATTAGACAGCTATGTTGAAGTAACGTCAGACATATCACCAGCCACCTAGATTTTATCAAATAATAAAGATTACTGAGATCAAATCATGTAAATGAAAATATTTAGGAAAATATTTCTTTGAGGGGTAGGCAACCTTAATAGTATTTGAGAGACATGATTTCTCCATTGAACATCGGAATAATATACTGGGTATTCCATTTAAAATAAAAGAGTAACGTGCTTTTAAATGTGGCCAATGTTCTCATCCATCAAATTTTGTCTCATCCTGTATAACTTTTTGGATCAAGTTTTCTTTTTGGATCAAATTAACTTTTAAGATCAATTAATATAACATTACAAAATTACAAAAAACACAACTTTGATATGTAACTTTTTTGGGGACACCCTGTAGAACTCTCTTTATTTTTAAAAAGTGCTCTGAATTAACCTACATATGCTCACAAAATTTCATTTCAATACAAACTGTCGTTCTCCTTGGAGCCTCCGCGACGCGGCGTATGAGAGGCGCCACCTTGTATAGGGGTGGGCCCAACGAAAATTATATGCGATTATCAATTCAAAAGCCACTATGTCACATTTTTTTATTTGTTTTTTTTATTTAGGCAGTTTCTCATGCCCATACGTGGAGAATATTGAAGCCTCACATGCCCGCAATTATTCACGATGTCCTGTATCCTTTAATGAGCTATTCTGCTGAAGATCATGAATTGTGGACCGTAGATCCTCACGAGTACATTAGAGTTAAATTTGGTATACTATTTAATTTTTTTCTCACTTTATTAACTAATAGCGAATTTCTATAGATGTGTTTGAAGATTTCATTTCACCGGTAACAGCAGCTCAAACCCTTCTCCATTCCTCTTGCAAAAAACGGAAAGAAATGTTAGGCAAGACTATGGTGATGCTTAATCAGGTGTTGACTAACCCCGCGACTGAACCGTCGCAAAAAGATGGCGCGTTACACATGGTGGGCTCTTTGGCAGATGTGCTACTGAAAAAAACACCTTACAAGGATCAATTGGACCAGCTTTTTATCAAATACGTGTTCCCCGAATTTAACAGCGACAGGGGCCACATGAGAGCTAGGGCCTGTTGGGTGCTACACTACTTTGCAGAATTTAATTTTAAACAGGTGAGACTTGATCAGAATTAACCATAAAATTTTGTGATTTTTATTTATAAAATTTTGCTTATCTACAGGGCGACTCACTGTTCCAAAAAGCTTTATCAGTTTAAAAAACGTGCGCTAACTTCCGTCAAATACTATACCAAGTAAACTTTTAGTCACGTGATTAAGCTTGACCGACACAGCGTTGCCCACTTTTACATATTTTCTTTTAATCAAAATATTTTAGGAAACATAAATAAATTAATTATAAATATGTAAACAGTTATTATTTACCATCAACAAAACTCACCTCCTTAATACCACTTAAGAGTCGTAAAGGACCATTACTACCGCTTTCACGTTCAAAATATTCTAGTAAGGTTGCGATGAGTTTTTTGTAACGGCTATTAAGCTATCTTGTACACTTCGCACTAAAAGAGGTTCTAAAAAGAACAATGTTCAACATTAAGGTCTGCTAGTAAAAGTTTTTAAATTTTAAGTATAACTCAATTCATTTAAACCAAAAATTCGTAATACAAAACTAAAGTGTCGAATAACAATGTCAGGAGATAAATAAATAAATGCGACAACTTGGGGCATGTTTTTCAGCAGAGCTACCACCTGAATCCCCAACGGGAAATTTCAATTCCAGTTAGTCAGCCGGGGGCGGCGCCGAATATGTCTATGGTTGGCGACAATGAATTTAAAAATAGCGCCCTCGATTACGTAACTAAAAGTTTAATTGATATGAAATATAGTTGTGTAAATTCTGTCTATTTATGATATAAAATAAATACCAAAATCACTTCAATGTAAATGTATATTTGGAACAATGGGTCATAAAATTTGCATATTATGTTTATTCATATTTATTTTTTTAGGAAAATGTTTTGGTGGACGCTGTGAACTTAACAGTTAGAGCACTCTTATTTGACAAAGATTTACCTGTAAAAGTTGAGGCAGCAATTGCATTACAATCTTTATTAAACTATCAAGATAGAAGTCACAAATATATTGAATTGAAGGTATATATGTTAACAGAATTTCAATTTTAACAGCATTTTCTTTATTATTTCTAAGCATGTTTTTATTTTTTTTTAAATATGTATCTAATAATGTTCTGATTCTATAAAATCTGAATGATCACTCGTGTAAAATGAATGATCCTGAACTTTAAATGTTCGTAAAAATTCAGATTTTTAGAGCAACATACAACAGATGATATCTAGAAATGGGGATAATTACTGTTTTGTATTCTGTAATATACAGATTGTTAACTGGACGGTTACTTATTGGGGAACAGAATGGCAACACTGCCTACATTCCAAATTTCAACCATAAAGCTCTTGCCAATTTTTTTTTAATTTTATTTTAAAATATAATGGCAACATTGGTAGTAGATTAAATTTACAAGAAAGAAAATCCAGAAAAGATCCAGCGGTTCTCAAAATTTAAGCAAAAATATTTTTTTTTTTAAATTTTCATAGTAAAATAACTCGGTTATTTTGGATTTATTTGAAAAACGGTAAATAGAAAATATGTTTCTTTTATCGAGATCTACCATCCTTGAAAATATTAGCACTTATTTAAGACTCACCCTCTATAATATTTGACACAAAATTAATGTATTGTTAATCATGAGTAACATACAATATCTGACTATATATTCTATGTCAAATGTCAATCTATATACCCTGCTGGTCAACCAATTTATGTGGTCTGTATTTTAATGAGTGTTACAGAATAATATAAATGACCGGTTGACAAAGAGAAAATCAAAAGCGACATACAGTGTTGCCGGTTTTTTACGTTTGTACGAAAATGTGTCTAGAAAAATATAAACTATTTTAAAAACTTTCGTGTATACTACTGAACTGGTAATAATATATCTGAACTAAATATAATCTATTACAACTGTAGTAAAATGAGGAACTAATAGTGAAAAATAAAGTTCCAACCATAAATGCAACATTTTTCGTAAACGCCTACTTATGCGGTCTGAAATTTTGATACAAAATCCGGCAATACCACATAGAAGAAATGTGTCGACCAAATTTTTATCTCTTTTTAATACATTTGATTTTCCATTAAGCTACATCATCACTGTCTTACACGTTAAAATACAGACCACACAGTTTCGATGACCAAATCGGTATAGTCCTTTTCACGTTACCTTTCCACCTTTTCAAATTTGACATCTTGTATGGTAATGCTTTGATCCAAAAAATCTATTTTATATATTACTTTGACAGATCGTTTTTTTTGTCATATTTCGAAAAGGTCTGTGATCACCTACAATATGATCGTAAAAAAACGACATCTAATTACCTTACAAGTGACGACGGATGATCGTCATTAACTTGACAACTTCTTGATAACTTGACGTTTTTTTTTTCTCGATCATATGGTACACGAGTAAAATTATACATTATTTTTAAGGTTAAAGAAGTAGCCCTGGAACTCCTATCAATTATTAGAGAAACTGAAAATGAGGACGTCACAGGAGTTATGCAGAAATTAGTCTGTTGTTTCACTGTACAACTTGCACCTATAGCTGTAGAGATCTGTCAACATTTAGCTTCAACATTTAATCAAGTAATTATACATGATCGTATTTATTTTTCAATTTTTTGATTTTTTAAATTAAATTTTTAATTTATCGATAGGTTTTAGACACAGACGAGGGATCAGATGAAAAAGCCATCACTGCAATGGGCCTGCTTAATACAATCGAGACTCTCCTCACAGTCATGGACGAACAGCCCGAAATAATGAGACTTTTGGAGCCGACGGTGTTGCAAGTGATAGCCCAGGTAAGCGAGTCTGCGAAAGTAGTTCAAATGAACCGCCCTCAGGGTTGGGTAACGACGCGGAGAGAAAATTAATTTTCTACGTCTATGTAGAAAAGTGCCTAGAAAATGTAGAATATTAAGTCAAAAATGTATAAAATTTGAGAACATGTACAATATTAATTTTGTATATTTAAAGCCGTTTTTTTCACTTTAGAGGTTTCTTCCTTTCTATTTTCTTTAAATTCTATAAGTGTTAAAACTGTAACGTGTGTGCGTGCGCTCTCTCTATTCTGCGACGGTACTCTGAACTCCCTGAAGACTATTAGAATATTATTTTCGGTTTAATTTGAAGACAGTACAGAAAAGTCTGATTTTTTTTCTTTTATGATTTAATTATGCGACAAAAATTAGCTAGATGTAATCAAATGCTCAAAATGCTTCCTTTCCTATTAACTGCATAAAATGATTGTCTTTTCAAAAGGATCTTTTCATTTTAAAAGGTATATGTGGAGTTCCGAAAAGCAGCTACAATAATTTCTCTCATGTTGTCGATAATAGTTGGTCGAGTTTTGTAAACACTGTCTTTAACATATCCCCATAAAAAAACTGTCTAGATAAAATCAGGAGCATTTAGGTATTCTATTAATTGGTGAATGCACACTGTATTCACAACCTAATAGAATCATATCAATTCTCTCTCAAGTTTGCATTTCTGCAAATTTCTGAGAATTTTTTTTGTTTTAACTGACACAAAATGATAACTAGTTGTTAAAGTTGGAATAATTAGACAGCTATGTTGAAGAAACGTCAGACATATCACAGCCATCTCAGATTTTATCAAATAATAAAGATCTACTCAGATCAAATCATGTAAATGAAAATATCTAGGAAAATCTTTGTTTGAGGGGTAGGCAACCTTAATAGTACTAGCGTGTACCCGCGACTTCGTTCGCGTCGAATTTATCATTTGTAAGGGTGATGAAAAAAGCAAAGCAAGAATTTCTTTTAACATACAGACCGGATAAAATTTTCTCACATTTATGTCAGCATGAGAAAAAACAATATGGCGATATTATTATATAACTTAGGGTAATATTTGAGGGGTAGTTTCATCTCGTTGGAATTTGACTTTCGAAAAATCCGTTTGCCAAAAATAAGCTTTTTACGTCATGCAGTTTAAGCAGAATCGTGGTTAATCAGTTACCCCACTTTTTGGAACACCCTGTATGATTTTTTAAAAAATTTCAAAATACGTAAAAAACGTAATAAATTATGCGTGTCCAAGCGTTTTCCCGAAAGACTAACCGTTTTTTTTTTAAATAACAAATATTGTAATATTTGAGGGGCGTTTTCACCCACTTGGAATTTGAGATTCGAGAAACCCCTCCTTATCGAACCTCTACACCCCACAGTCAATCCGTTATCCATTGCCAAAAATCAGCTTTGAACGTCAAGCAGTTTAAGCAGAATCGCGATTACTCAATGGTCATATTTTATGAAATACCCTGTATAAATTTTTAAAAAATTTTAAAATATGTAAAACAACAAAATAAAATATACGTGTTTAAGAGTTTTTCCGAAAAACTCACCGGTTTTTAAATAAAAAATATTCTAATATTTGAGGGGTGGTTTCACAAAAATCAGCTTTTTACGACAAGCGCTTTAAGCAGGATCGTGATTAATCAATAACCATATTTTTCGAAACACCCTGTATACCTTTTTAAAAAATCTTAAAATAACTTTGACTCACTTCTTACATTGAATGGTTTGAGCAGGATCGTGATTAATCAGTGAATCCCTTAAGGATTTTATATATTAGTATAGATTTTGAAGAGACATGAATTCTCCATTGAATATCGGAATAATATACTGAGTGTTCCATTTGAAATAAGAGAGTCATATGCTTTTAAAGGTGACTAATGTTCAATATTAATTTTGTCTCAGCCTGTACAACTTTTTGGATCAAGTTTTAATTTAATTTAAAGTACAATAGTTAACCGGGTAAATTCCCATTTAGGTAGCTTTTATTGTAATTTAAAAATTGTTCTTTATTTCTAAAAAATGTTAAATATGTCAAAAACCTTACATTTTAGTCATATACTTCTCTTATAAAACTCACGTTTATTTTTCTCCCAGAATCTGAAAATCAATTAATATATAGGGTGTTCCATTACAAAAAACACAACTCTGATATGTATCTTCTTTTGTGGATACCCTGTAGAACTCTCTATATTTTTAAAAAGTGCTCTGAATTAACCTACATATGCTCACAAAATTTCATTTCAATACAAACTTCCGTTCTCCTTGGAGCCTCCGCGGCGTATGAGAGGCGCCACCCTGTACTATTACTCTCCATTTGTTAAATAATAACTCAACCAAAACTTAATAAATAATAAAATAAAAAAATAATAAAATAACCAAAAATAATAAAAATTCAAACCAAACAATTAGAGAAATCGTTATATTAGTTTATTTCTTGTACTAATCGTTGTGATTGAAGTATTTGAAATAATTACAAACTCAAAAAAGGCTTACAATATACAAAACTAATTTTCTACGTCTGAACATGTAAAAAATGTAGAAAATTAATTTGCTACGTGTAGAAAATATAAAATGTTCTACCTACCCAACCCTAACACCCCCATTGATAAACGCCTTTTAGGTGCTACAAAACGAAGTTCAGGAGTTTTACGAGGAAATATTTTCGTTAATTTTTGATTTGACGAGCAAACAAATTTCTCCAGACATGTGGAAAGTGTTTGAATTGCTTTACCAAGTAAGTTGCACTAGTGTGGATTTTTTTTAATTATTGACAATACATATTTATTTTACCCAGGTCTTCATAAAGAATGCAATTGATCACTTCACAGACATGATGCCGGCTTTGCACAACTATATAACGATCGACACAAACGCATTTCTCTCGGATGAAAAGCGGTTGTTGGCGATCTATACTATGTGTAAAGAAGTCTTAACTAAAGGTACTAAATCTGAAGCTTTTAGCGCGAATTTAGTATCCGAAAACGATCTAAAAACTGATAATTCTTACAGATAGTGGTGAAGATCCTGAGTCGCACGCTGCTAAGTTGTTGGAGGTGGTACTTTTACAGTGCCGTGGAAAGATCGATAGTGCTGCACCCTTGCTTGTGGAACTGGCAGCTACTAGATTACTCAGGGAAGTGAAAACAAGTGAACTCAGAACAATGTGTTTACAGGTAAGATTAGTAGTAGGTAAGAAACTTTCCAAAAAAATCCTATATGGGTATTTCGCCACTGCAAGAAAATCTACATAATGAAATAGTTATTTTTTGTAAACACAAAGTTAAACTTCAAAATTAACTTGATATAATGTCATTTTCAAACAGAACGTCAACGGTTTTTGTAGACGTATCTCTTTTAAAAAACTAAAGTGTTCTCGAATAGTTGAATTTAAATATTTTAAATACATAGTTTTTTTCTTTATTCTTTGTATTTTTTTTTGCCTTCCGACGTCGAAAAGAGATAAACTTTCCGAAACGTTAAGCATTTTTTGTTCGTTAGGCAAATTTGTTTATCTGTAAACCTAACTGCTGACAAGTAGTTTTCGTTTGGATTAACGCAGCAGTGTTTACAAAAAATAACTATTTTATTTTGTAGATTTTCTTGCAGTGGCGAAATACCCATATAGGATTTTTTTGGAGAGACGAATCGGCCACATAGGTATAGACATTTTTTATGAAACTTATATTTGAAAGTATATTTGCTATGATAAATAGATTTTATAAATAAGTAACATTCAGGAAACGATGTTTGATTTAGCAGTTATTTTTAATTATTTTATTTAAAATATTTTTATTGGACATTTTATTTTGTTAAAATGTCTTTCTCTGTTGTGTTTTTATCTAATACGTGGTTTACGAAATTTCTATAGAGTACCTTTTTTTGTATATGAAATACCTCGTGGTATTGATTTGTTGGTTGTCTTTACAGGTTCTCATAGCAGCGCTATATTACGATCCAAATCTTCTTTTCACTGTACTGCAAAAAATGCCCGATTTCACGAACCATTTCATCAAGCAATGGTTACACGATACCGACTGTTTCTTAGGAATTCATGACAGGAAATTGTGCGTTTTAGGACTTTGCACCTTGATAGGTAAGAACTAAATCTAAAAAAATATTACTATTTCTTTCCACCTTTCCCTCTATTACTTTCTATAATAAAAGTTTTCCTAATCTTTTGACTATTTTTTTCAGGCATGAGAGAGAAACCACCAGCACTGTTAGAAATGGCACCGAAAGTAATTCCCTCGTTAATTCTCCTCTTTGACGGACTCAAGAGGGCCTACGCGGCCAAGGCCCAGGCGGAAGCTGAGGAAGAGGAAAGTGAAAGCGACGAAGGGGAAATAATTGAAGGTACTTATTACACATTGAAAGGGTATCCGGTGTCGTATAGGCACAGCTCTCGTCTACCAACATACAGGTCGTAGGTTCGAATCCTGGCAGGCATTACATCAGCCGACTCTTAAGCCTTATTTACACGTATCAAGTAGCTAAAGCAAGTTACTAAATTTAGTGACCTGCATGGTGCAAACAACCCGATTTAGTACTTGCGCAAGTAACAGTTTTAGTAAACTGTTTAGTCAACTGAATAGAAACGCGCGATTCCTATTTACTTGCGCAAGTGGTCATCCCCACCTCTGTTTTTGGGCAACTAAAGCGCTGCTAAACAAGTGGAGACCGGCCAGTTTAGTCAAGTTCGTAAGTAAAGACTACTACCATTTATTTTATTTGAATTATTAATCATAATTAATTTTGTCTCTTGAATACGTTTGTAGAAAAATATCGTGAAAGACGATGCTTATGGGATACAAGGGCTGCCATTTATAAAAATAAACAAGCTCGGAACACAGCGTATAAGGAAATTGAGGAGATCACGGGTATAGAAGGATTCGGATTTCATAAAATTAAAAACAAAATACGGTCATTGAGGTCAACTTATTGTTAAGAAAAGAAAAAGAGAATAAAGCATTTATGAAACCGGGACTAGGTTCAAAGAATATTTATGTCCCCAGTGTAAAATCCCGTTTAAATCAACAACTAAACAGTAATAAAAATTAAAATGTAGACGCTCACTAAAACGAAAGGGCTACATTTTAGCTAGTTGATTTAGTAGCTTGCTTTAGCTACTTGATACGTGTAACTGCGGCTTATCTTAATAAAAATCAAATGTTAGGTTACCTTAAGTCGACTGAGGCTTAACCCTAGAATACTAACCATATAAGGCAGTATCGCTAATACTAACTATTTTCCTAAGAAATGAAAGATCCCTTTAAACATTTTTTTTTATTGAAAACATTCATTTATAATTTATTAGTTGAATAAAAATCAAATGTTAGGTTACCTTAAGTCGACTCAACCTTAACCCTAGATTACTAACCAAAGATCCCTTTAAACATTTTTTTTTATTGAAAACATTCATTTGTAATTTATTAGTTGAAGTTCAGAAAAATATAATTGGCAAAATATTGGATAATTATTTCTCAGTGTCGCAAGTCACACAACACTACGCACTGCGACCGTGCTTTATGCACTGAACATAAAGCACGGTCGCAGTGGTTGCAATAGGCTTGGTGCATTTCAGTTGATTTCAACAAATTCCGGCCGCAGCGCTTCAACGGCAAAAACCAGAAATTATCAGTAATGGGCTCTTTCACAAAAAATAAAATACCCAATTCAAGGACAAAATCTGAAATAGAAAACTATTTTCAGTATATTTATCCAAAAAAAATAGTTCCATGACATTGAATAATTTTTTTGTAGGCCCTCAAAATTGCTTTAATTTGAAATAATTTTAAAGTGCCAATTGATGACGTATAAAAAATTGGCCCAATCACATTGCAGAAACGTGCTCGTGCGCCAGCCAACAACTGGCAACATTGCGATTTGATTTGACCAGCACCACCTCAACTCAAAGCCAATCAACATGATATGGGCAAGGCAAATATGGCGGCGAAGGCAGCGCATTATTAAATTGTTTACCTTTAACCTGAAAAGCCGGTAGTGGTTTCTCGCTCCGATTGAATACCAGAAATAATTAATTATATCTAGTTTGTCATGCTTCTGCAACACGTTTGTTTAGTTCTTAGTGTTCAGTGCATGGTGTGATCAGAAAATTGTGATAAAATAACAGTGTAATAAAAATCCAAACCAGACATTCCACATAGGGAACTTCAAAATTTTGTGCTTGTCGTACTCCTCTATTATTAATTATTTTAAGGTAAGAACTAGAAGTATTTATCAAGATATTACACCTAAATGAGTAAAAAGCCTTCGCCAGTCTGCATAGTACTTTATAATGGTTACTTACAATAATCAAAAGATAGGTATTAAAGGGAAGGTATTAACATTTTATTGTAGCATGCCTTTTACATGCTCTGTTCCAAATTGTCACGGGAATAGAGGGGGTCCCAAGGTTTCTGCTTTTATATTCCTCAAAAATGACGAGCTTCGTAAAAAATGGTTGACAGCTATTAAAAGAGATAATTTCACTCCTACTAGTAGTTCTCGGGTAAGAAGTGCATTAAATATGCCTCAAAAAGGCCAAAGGCCAAAGCCTCTGTTACCCTAGTGAGGATGTAGTTATGGCTACTGCTTACACTTACCTCACTATAAGTAAAATATTGGAAGAAGAATCAAGCTTTTTACATCAAAAAGATCACAGAAAGATATTGACAACATTGACATTTGGAAATATAAATGGCCTGGATGTAAGTCTTTTTTAGGTCACAATTGCCCCTCACATACGTCAGAATTTATTATTAAATCCATCTTGTTCAGAATATCCAATATTTTATTGAAGAACTATGCAAAAAAAAGGAATGACGTCTTTACCACAAAGACAATGCCCTATGTAAAGAGCAAGAGTAAAGAAAACTAAGCTAAGCGTAAGTTTTACTTACGAACCCCCAAAAAGGTATTTAGTTTTTTTTCTATATAAAATCTTGAAACACATATTATATTTTTTATTTATCCTGACCTATTATAGTTTAAATTTATTCCCATTTGTGGAATGCTACAAAACATAGAAAAAATATTCCATATTTTTTGACCCAAGCCAGTGTAGTTTATAATTCCAAGAGCATTTACCAAGGCTTTTACTAAGACAAGTAACTTCCTATACTGTCCATAATAATATATATTTATCAAACGTTCAGTAAATTCTAAACTATGGCAATTGAATATTTAGTTTATATTGCTATTTTCTGTCATATATTTCTGGTTATTTCTTTTTCCGATGATTTTGAACACCCTATATATGCTACCTCAAGTTTGAATATTTTAACACTACCTATTTTCTTAGAAAGCAGACCTTTTTTTTTAAAAGTAACTATGTAACGATGTTTTCATAAAAGTAATAATACAAAAAATTCCATACTTATGTAGAGAACTTTAGACTCCCTGTATATTAAAAAATTAGTGAAATATTACGTAATCTAAACAGACATTTGTGTGAAAAATGTCTATTTGGAAATAAAACAGGTTTTAAAATACGCGCCAAATAAAGCACTTCTATCTCCGCCATATTGGAAAAGGTTGAATGGCCTTGTGTGGAGGTGGTGGTGGGTCAGCATGGTGGCCCGGCCGCGGCCGTGTTGCCGCTTTTCAACATGCCAGGTGTGACGTATTAAAAATAAAGTGCGTATTTTTATTCTGGGCTTTTTTGTTTTTATTTATTTTCTTAAGAACGACTTCAAATTTTTCGAAAGTGAGATAACAGAAAATTCTAGAATTAATTGCTTTATTCATTTATGCTAATTCCAAAATATAGTGAAAGAGCCCATTATTTTACGCCGCCGCGCCGTCATGTTGATAGCATTAAAATAATATTGAAATCGTGGTTTTGTCATAATATTTAAGTATTTTAGTTTTTTGCTAGTGTAGTTATTGATACTATAAAACACTCAGGTACGAGGTTTGTGTGATGCAACGCTGTTTCGGGTAGTAAAAAATAAGTGAAAAAGAATTCGAACTAGGCGTCGTGTTGTGTTGTGACAATTTTAAATGCTAATAAAATTGCCGCAAAAATGATAACACGTAAAGGAGAGCGTAATTAAGGCGTTGTTATTAGGTGCAATAACATTCAATAATTCAACTTTCCCGGATATTCAACTCTCCCGAAACAACATTTTATAGCTTCGCAGCTTCTCATACCGAATTGTTCAAAAGCAAAAATGGATTCAAGCAGTTTGACGAAACAAGTGAGTAAACAAAGTGCTCGTTACATTATCAAAAAATTAAATAGACATATACTTTAGTTTTATGAACATCTTTTAAAATTATAATAATGTACCTCCAATACCACCATCTCCGATGGTGGCAGCACCAGCGGAGAATGTACCAAGCCTAAAACGATGTGGTAAGTGACGTCGTTCTTCATTTTTTAAGGCTAAAGAGTTTTATAAAATTGCATTATTTTGTGAAACTATGCAAAACATATTGAATGTTGAAAAGTCACCTATTAAAGTTGCTGTAATATATCCATATTATTTCTCTAAATTTACTTAATTTTTCCAGTGTAGGCATAACGACATATCTAATAAATAATAATAAACACAGCTTCACCAATAATTAGTTAAAAATACCTTTTTTTATTTTCAGATATCCTTAGTTCAGACGAAGACGAAATAGACGATCAAGGTCAAGACTACTTGGAGAGTCTCGGTAAGAAAGCCTTGGCGGCCGGACAGAATCAAGGCATGGCCATCGAAGCCACCATTAACGACATTGAAGACGTATCAGACGATGAGGATTCAGACTACGAACCCAACGAAGAGACTGTTTTGGAATCTTACACGACGCCTTTAGACGAAGAAGATTGCGAGGTTGACGAATATTTAGTTTTTAAACAAATTATGACAAGTAAGTAACTTAAGCTTCATTCAGAACCTCGAAATTAGCGGAGTAAATTAGTGATGGCAATTTTCAAATAGTTCTAGAAAGTGAATAAACTCAACTTTTGCTATTAATTAAACTTCAAAATTAGTGAGTCATGTCATCTTGACCTTTGATTATCATCCGTCAAGAGAAATTGTGGTTAGAAACGAAAAATTTATTGTTTTATAGTCTGTCCTACAAAATCCTTGACAGTGATAGATGTGTCTGTCATTTTAATTTCAAAGTATGTAGTTTATTTTATTTTACAAAGAAATAAATTGGTACAATTGGAAAGCAGGAAATGAATACGCTCATCGGCACAAAAACGGGCACCTTAACATTTTCAGGTATTTTAAAGTTTAATATATTTTGTTCTCATGGACCGATTTTGATGATTTTTTAAACAATTTGTAACCAAATTATTTGACTTTTTATTGTCTTTTCCTAAATTAAAAATGAAAATTTCCATCTGTCAATTATATGAGAGAAAACAAAATGTTGATATTTTGGTGAAAGTTTGAAACACCCTGTGGAATATGTTAAGGAATTTAAAAAGCATTTTATTATCTAGGTACGTCTTTTCTGGATGATATTTTTTTTGATTCATCTCAATAGCTTTATTTTTATTGGAGATATTCGCTTTTGAATAAGACATTAACGATTTTAACGCAAATTTAGTTTTGATTTTGGGTCCTCATCATCAAACTTATAAAATAGGGTTTATTGTTTTTGTAATCTCACTGTCGCTGAAAAGTCATATTATTAGTGATGGGAAGAATCGGATGAATTCAATCCTCGAGGATTCCAATAATCGGATATTCATTCGAGGAATCCTCGGTCATAAAATTTTCTGACCTGAATAATACTCGCCGCTGTGTGTGAGTGATTTTGCTTACTGTTGCCATGTACTTGAATGACTTAAATAATATTGTAATAAAAATAAATACTAATTATTTTAAACACTTTTTTAATAATTTTTAGTATTTTCGTGTATAATTTCATGTGGGAAATAAAATTTTCATAGGTTTTGCTTTAAATTGTGCTGATTCTGTTTCTTTAACTCCGACTTTGGGGCTAATCTGGCAACCTTTCAGCACACATTCGGCCAAATGAAACCAAGTAATTCTAGGAAATACGTGCGGCTTTTTAAAAAGGGCTCGTTATTTACTGTTTATTTGTCGGCGGTCGGTCATTTAGATAAAAAAATATATTTTGTTTTACTTTTTAATAGCACACTTTCACCGAAAATAAACTATAATACCTAATAAATTGTAGCAGTATTGTGTTATTGTGCATATTTTAAGTTTTTGTGCGACATGATATCCAGTTTTAAAATTGAATTTACCAACTGTATTGTTTGGGCACAGCTTAACTAATAATCGAAAAAAAATTGTTAATGTTAATTGTTTCGGATTTTCAACCTCTGTCTCTTGTGAACCCTCATAATAGAAAAATATTAACTAATAACATTTTACTTAAAGCCGAGCTTAAGGCTTACAACGAGTCAGCTGTCGCTTTAAAAACTGTTTTAAAGAAATGAAATAAAATATAAGCAATATTGTTATTGTTCTTGTTGGCAAATTCCGCAAATCATTCGCTTTATATCTACGTTCCATCACACTAAATTTCGATTATACTTTCATCAGAATATAGTCTCCCAACGTACAACTACAAGCAAAGGTTTTTTACAAGAAAACACGTAAATTGAAAATTAAAAATGCAAATAAGGCAAAATCTCCAAAGCCTTAACCCAAATAAACAACTATGGTTTTGTCAAATGGAATTTTGAAAGTCGAAAACTGACGTATTATGAATTTTCAAATGTTTCATTTCTGAATTATTACATTTTATTATTATATCAAATTATAAATCTTAAAATAAATAGAAAGTATGGAGAAAAAATCTTTATATTTTAAATAAATATTATAATTAATATATCCCATCTAAACAAAACAAAACAAAAATAAGTAATGTATTTCTGTTCAAAACAGCGGGTTATTACTCTGAAAACCGACTATTATTGCGAGCGATATGCGAGCAAGTGATTAAACGGTTATCCTCTGTCCTCTATATAAAAGCTTTCAGCATAAATCGTAAAATCGCCTGTATCGTCGCGAGCGGCGAGGACGGTATGCTACACTCGATGTTAGTTGCGTGCCGAATAATACTCGGGGATCGACAAAAAAAGGTTTCAGCATAATTGTAAATTGCCTGTATCGTCGCGAGCAGCGAGGGCGGGACACCACACCCGATGTTAGTTGCGTGCCGAGTAATCCTCGAGGATCGACAAAAATACTCGAGACATACCGAGGATATGAATACTCGGATGACCGAGTATTTTTCACTTGAGTGATACCATCACTACATATTATTGTTTATTGACGTTTACTCTGGTTTTAAGTTCTGAAGTATCAACTATTGTTGCTTTAGTTGATCATGGTAGAGATTTTTGGACTAAAAACAATATTTGCTAGAGTAACTACCCAACAGACAATAATAACATGTTTTTTCAAAGACATTGACATTAAATAAATCGTAACCACTATTTTATAGGTCTGTTGACTAGGACCAAAAGCAAAGGCATGGTTTTAATGTAAACAATACGAAAAAAATGTTAGTGTCTTCTTCAAAAACGAATGTCTCCAAAAAAAATAAAGCCATTGAGATGAATCAAAAAACAAATTATCGAGAAAAGATACATCTAGGTGATAAAATAATTTTTAAATTCCTTGCTTTGTGTGTGTTAATATACTCCACAGGGCGTTTCAAACTTTCACCAAAATATCAATATTTTGTTTTCCCTCGTATAATCGACAGATGGTAAGATGGATTTGATTCTGTTGATGATATCTATTATCTGGGGCTTTTGTCGTCCACTTATTCAACCTGTAATTTCCTTATAATGTCCGTTTTAAGTGTAGAATAGCTAGTGTAGGTAATTTTGTAACCGCTAATTTATTCCACTAATTTGGAGGTTCTGAATTTGCAGTGTTTTTTTAGCATAACTACTAACGTTTCTAAACATTTTCAGACATACAAAATCAGAATCCAGAATGGTATGGGGCACTAACTGGTCATTTAAATGAGCAGCAATTAAAAGTTTTAAACGAAGTGGTAGTGCTTGCTGAACAGAGAGCGGCGGCTAGGGAAAGTAAAAAAATTGAACAACAAGGAGGTATGTAAGTAAGAGGGGACTGAAGCAAGAATATTTATATGTATATTCCAGCTTGTTTCCTTCAAAAGGTGTTCATCCTTAAGATGGATTCTTCCCACTGATATCGGGAATTTAATAATAAATGGTTATTAAATTCACGTTTCTTATTACTGATATAACTAGATTAAGAAGCCAAGCCTTGTTTATGTGTGACATATAAGTAATACTTCTATAAGCCTAGTAAAAAATTTAGGTATCCGCCAAGATACATATATAATATAAACAAGGTTTCTAGACATTTTTTGGTAACTCGATCCTCTTCTAACAAAAAGCTACACTACATAGAAGTAAAATGTAGCGCTATCATATAGGCTTTGTGCATTTCAGTTGATTTCAACAAATCCGACCGTCTCAGCGGAAAAAATCTGAAATTATCAATATATAGTTCACGCCGCCGTCATGTTGATCGCATTCAAATAATATTGAAATCGTGGTTTTGTTATAATATATAAGTATTTTGTTTTTTGCTAGTGCAGTTATTGAAACTATAAAACACTCAGGTACGAGGTTTGTGTGATGTAACGCTGTTTCAGGTAGTAAAAATAAGTGAAAAATAATTCGAATTAGGCGTTGTGTTGTGTTGTGACAATTTGTAATGTTAATAATAGCACAGATTAGGTATACTATTTTTATATAGATAAAAATCTTATCCCTAATTTGTGGTACGAAAATTGTTTTTTATGACGATGAGCAAACGAGTAAAATTTCCTGTGCGCAAAAATAAACTCGCGTAAAATAACAATAAACAGCGTAATAGAGAGATATCGCTAAACCGAATAGCGTACATGGACGTTAATAAGGCCGGTGTTATTTCCTTTACGTGAGGTGGTATTAACTCTCTTCATTTATAGTTATCGGATCGGAAAGAATTATGTTCGCGTCGCGTCCGCTATTTAAACTTAACCTAACCTTGAATTTTAAACTTTGAAATTGTTTTGTTTACTAGGTATTTTAAAACTAAAGGGCTAAAGTGCTTATTTCCAGTGCTTTATTGTTCAACGTCTGCCAGTGGGTTTAGGGCAACAAATTCTCTTAGAAGGGCTAAGTCGTCATCTGCTGTAAACCTAAGCCTCTTTATAGGTTCTTTAATATTGGAAGAGGTGGAATCCATATTTTGGGCCATATTTATTTAATTAAAAAACGCTTGGTGTAATTGATCCGCAAATTACGTCAGGCGGTAACGTTATTAGCGAGCGTTGCGTTAAAAATTGACTCGCGCATATCGTAACTGTCAAAATAAGGTACGTGTAAATACTGCATGACGCTATTCGGTTTACCGATATCTCTCTAATAACTGGGCCGGTCAGGCGCCGTGCACAATTTTAGAGGCCATAAGTGGGCGTGCTATGTGCGCTAACTAGTAACCTAACTGGTGCCCGATTCTGAAAATTGGAACCACGAAAAACAATAAAGAAAAAATTAAGTTTATAATCTGTATAATCTGTGATAATACACATATACTATGAGACGATAAAATATAATTTGCAATATTAATGGTATACTTTTTTTTTGATTAAATGTTTTATGGACATCTTCTAAAATTATAATTATGTACCTTTAAAAAATTTCGTTAAACCAAAATAGCCCCAATTATACCTCACTAGCAAAACCGGTGATTAAAACTATGCTCGCTACCGTAGTTGAACTCATCTAAAAAGTTTTTTAACTGGAATAATAAATTATAATATTGCACCAAGCCTATAACAATTTGACGAAAAGGAATACAATTGTCATATCAACAATATATCAATATAATATTGTTTTAAAATCAAAATTTAGTAACATCGAAACTGGCAACAACTGCCCATCGATGTAAAAAACGTCTAGAGAATGCCGTGACGGCATCTGATCCTGTTTGTTTTGACAATATTTGTCGATAATAGCAATCAAAACACGTGTTTTGTTTGCGTTGTTTAATCTCTAGCATTTTTTTTGTTTCGATTGCACGTGAAATGCCCGACCGAGTATCGTTTATGGAGTTTTACGCATGCGCACTCCTGTCAAATCTAGTTGGGATCAAATGACGTCACGGCATTTTCTAGCCGCTTGTATCGATGTGTCGGACCGTTTAACATTAACACAGATATTAAAGAAACATTGAATGTCAGAATGTCTGGCGAACATCGATGTTTTAAAACATCGCACAGCATTCGTAACATTATACTAGGGTCGGTAAGGTTTGAGTTTGGGTCGAGATATCCGTATGTAAGAAGAGTATAATGCATTTATAATGTACCGAACAAAGAGAGAACAGTAAAAACGTATGAAATAAACCGAGAAACTGTACACACGTGGAAGGGGATATGGCAGCTTTCGTCGCGTTCGACACGGTCACACCGCATAAACATAAAATTAAAATTTAAATCCAGTACCTGCCAGTACTTTTCTAGGGCAGGGTGTACATCACGCTTCAGCTTCACGATTTAATTACCTCTCACTATACTTTATTTATTTATTAATGAATTGCGTAATTTTCCTTATAGCTTGTAAATTATTAAATGCAAGTTAAAAATTAAACAACGACTCTAAAACGCCGAGAGGTTTACCACTCTTGGTAAAAATAAGTGGAATTGAGTTGGTGTTAGACAGTGGTGGGCGTTATAGAACTCTGAATTCAAAAATCGATATCTCGAAATCCATTAGAAATAATTCATTGTGTTTTTTTATTTCTTAGTGTTTCTGCTCCATTTTCTTCGCAGACAGTATGTGAAAATCTTTACAAACAAAAAAGTTCCATGATTACTAAAAACTGCCATGCACTAAAAGTTGATGGACGCTTTTTTTAAATTTTTTATATGAATAAAAAAGAAGCCTATCAATTTTTTCTCATTTAAACATCTTGTGTAAGATCCGAACTTCAAAATAAAAACCAAGTTTAAATATGTAAAATGGTTCTTGAGTTATCGCGTGTTATGTGTTAAAAAGTTGAGGTTTCAAATTACCGCGATTATTAACGTTTTGTCATTATAAAATAATGGACACCATAAAGATATTCTTATAACTCGATTTCAGATACCTAGAAACATATTTAACAGTTTTATGTAGTTATCTCTCCGAAAAAAAACCTTTTAGAAATAAGCGTCTTTCGACCAGGGAACCTCGCACCCGTATCTCTGATAAATGTGGCAACGCCGCAACAGCCCAGCGTCGTGTTTTTCTCACTCCGACTTAATAATATGCCTACGTGTTCACTTCCACACATGTAAATACCGACCCAAAAGACTTGCCAACACGGTATGGTCAATCCGTTATAGCGAACGACAGTTCTGGGAATTTTGGTATACCTTGTGTTTTATATAACACCCTTATAGAGAGTATTATTTATAGGACCCACACACACATCGATAATCGCAAAACAATTTCCGATGCACGTGATCAACTTTGAGTAACAAGCGATGGTCACAGCGCTGCCAGATTGTGATGGATTTTTCAGATGAATCTTAATTTAAAATTAACAAACAGTATATTTATTATATAATTTTTTAAATATTTTTACGTTTCATTTTTAATTTAATAATTTAGCAATTAATTGATTTATTAAGCTCTTTGCTTCGACTGTTTAAATGCTTTGGCATATTTTCAACACATAATTTCTAGAAATGCAACGCAAAAACTCGAAGATTTACTTCTTAAAAGAACTGTTTGTACTTTTAAAGTACAATTTTAAAAAAACTATGTAAATAGGCAGAAAACGAGAATTACTCACAAAGATTCAACAACAATGCAATATTATACAAAATAATGACTGACATTAGGATAATTGTCAAATAATAAATGACAACCTTGCTGAAAACGGCGCAATGTGACCAACATAGCGATAATAAAATTCGGTTTAAACTAATTTTTGCAGCTTTAATCTAAATAACATATCTGTTACAATCATTTGCTCTATAAAGTCAAATGAAGAGCTGCTCAGTATCTTAAATTATACAACAAATTTAAACATTTTTACCAAAATTTCATTTAGTCAGGTTTATAGGCTTTAGTATCAATGTCGATATGATTGATGACGTGCATCGGAAAATGTCTTGGGATTACAATACATAGCATTCCTTTGTTTGGCTTAAAATTGAAACGCACCAGAATCCACACAATATACTATGTTTTAACATTGAGATTTTTCTTTTCCAGGATATACGTTCACCCAGCAATCCGTGCCAACCAGTTTTAAGTTTGGGGACAGTAATTCGTGAAGAACCGTTTTTTAAATATATTTATATAATTTAGTAATTAAAGGAAAAAAAACAATAAAAATTAAATGTTATTTATTGTGACTGAATGTAAGAAATGGGCTGGCTAGAAGCAGGATACTTTTCTGCGGGAATCGGACTACACTATTTTCCGTTGATTTGTTAAGTGCCTTTTTACCTTCACTCGGTTCAAGCCAGAGTTCTCGACTGCACCGTACCGTTACTAAGCTAGTAATATTTTTCACAATAAAACACTTTTTAATAATTTTACGCCCAATTTAACAAGAGTAAAGCTTGATTTTCATGCGTCCGTTATCCGTTGATAACGATGGTCCGACGGCGCTCTGATTGGTCATAGCGTTTTCGCGCCACGCTTCATCCGTAAATTTTTTACTCCAGCACGTCAGCGGAGAAAGATCATACGTTAACGGACGTTTTTACACTTTTTAACAAATTTAATCTAACCTTAATTAAAATAGTGTAGTATAAGAGCGTTGGAAAAACGATAATTTTAAGAAAGCTGGTTCTTTAATATATCTTTTGGTATGCTCTTCTGACCAAAGTGCGGGTTGTCTGGCTGCCGGTATACTACTGCGCATCACATCTGTACAGGGTATCCCACTGTCGTCTGTTTTATGGGATTTCTCGTTTATGAGTAGAGATACAATGATGCGATTTTCACATTACTTTGCTACTTTTTAATGAAACTAAATATGCTACACATATGTTTGTCCTAGACTTCTTAGTTCCTAAAATACAGGGCGAACTTGTGATGCGCAATAGTGAACAGATGTTGAATACAGATATGATGCGAAGTAGAGAACACAATGTCTACCGAAGCAGACGGTCCGCACTCTGTTCAGGGGAGCATAACACAAAAGATATTAAAAAACCAGCTTTCTTAAAACTCTCTTTCGAAGATGTTGCTAGCTCTTATAGACTATAAGCGAAATCGTTATGGAAATGAAAATATAAAATGACACGAATCACAATCAAGCAAATCGTACATCCGATGAACGGAGGCATGAAAATGCAATAAATTAAAAAACTGCGTAATTTTGTAACCAATCGGAGTCTTTAAATTCAACCAATAAAACTAATATCGTATCGTCGGATAACGGATGCATGAAAATCAGGCTTAACTCCTTAGGACTTTTGATACAGCATTTATCAATTTGTATCAGTACATTTAAGATAATGCAAATACACCTACAGTTAAATACATATTTCTTTTTTAATATAGTGTGTGTCAAAAAGTTTGGTACAAATATGGGAGAAAATATGCAGAAACAATTTAGTATACCTAATAACAAAGACATGTTGACATATATCACGTGACAACTGTTATAGCGACAGAGGCAGTAACAGCGGCAGTAACAACACCCGAACAAAAATTCGGGGGTTGTTATGTTTTAAACAGTTTGTCTTTTTTTAAAACAACTGCTTTAAACGTATTTAAAACACTATTACTTATTCTAAACATTTCTTTAAAGCTCTCTCTTAAACACGTTTGGTGTGTAGGTGATTTTTTTCAATATGAAAACAAGATTTTTTTCTCTCATACAAAACGAATAAAAAACAAAGTAATCACCTCAACCCCATATTTTCAAGAAGAAAAATTCATTTGAATCATACTAATAAAAAAAGTACCTAGTTAGTTGCCTACCTCCGAAAATATTATAAAATCTTTTTTTTTAATCATTACATTATAACATTATTAATCCAACAAATATTCACATCAAGCATTTTTTATCTTGTTTTTTTAAAGAAAAAAAATAGTTATAATAATTAATTAATTACTTATGCTATTTTTATTTTATTATACCAATTTTTGCCTGCCCTGCTCTGATTAGCACTGCACGTCACTGTTAATCCATGCCAACATTTGTTGGCACTCTAGTAGCAATGTTTCCGTATAGTCTAAGAGCTAGCAACGTTTTCGAGAAAGTATTTTAAGACGTCTGGCTCTTTGATATATCTTTTACTATGCTCTCTGAAACAGCATGCGGCCCGTCTGGCTGCCGCTACCCGTTGCGTTCACTACTGCGCATCGGAAGAAGATCCTATATTTTTTATTAATTTAGTCCTATAAATTCTAGTATTGAATATAAATCGAACATGTCTCCTGGCTCTTTAATATTTTTTTTGCTATGCTCTCTGGAACAGCGTGCGAGTCGTCTGGCTGCCAATAGACGTTGCGTTCCATACTGCGCATTGAAAGAGTAAATAATCGTTTTTTTTTTTGAATCACCAAAATTATTTAATATTTTACTATTATAATATATACGAAAATAAAATAAAAAAAGGTTTGCCCCTAACCGGTATTGAACTCTGGACTTCTCGCTTTATAGGCTGAACGTTTTCGCGCAGCGCTATGGAGGCTTGTTCGATTTATATTCAATACTAGTATTTAAAGGACTAAATAAAAATATAGGAACTACTTTCAATGCGTAGTAGTGAACGCAACGCCTATCAGCAGCCAAACAGCCTGCCCGCTGTTCCAGGGAGCGTAGTAAAAGATATTATATAGAGCCAGCTTTCTTAAAATACTTGTTTGCCAGACGTTGCTAGAGCTCTTAATGTTATAAATATAAAAAGTTGTGAATTACACTTAAATTTAAGATTTTTTCAAAAAGTGTTCAAAAAGTTAATTGGATAATTGTCCAGTGAACGGCTTAAATGTCTCTTGGCATTTGTTAACTTTTTTTGTTATTCAGTATACTGAATTGACTGCATAAAATTTTCTTTTGATAATTCAATATTACTTTTCAATATGTTGTGAACATTCTGGTACACACGGTATACAAAAAAAGAGAAATATTCAGGTTCCAACACTTATATTATTTAAGCTTTATACATGATCGACTGTCAATATGCCCGTTTCTAGTATAGAAATCAGTTGTTAGATGGACGCAATTGATTTTTAACAATTTGTTTTAGGCCAGTAAGCGAGGATAAAAATAGGGTATTACCTCCAAATTCTTGACACCCTCGCCGTTTGACGTGAAATTTTAACAATGAATAGAGATATATGTAAGAAACAAAACTTGGGCATAGTAGCGATGTGTGCTTTCGCCCTGGGGGTGAGTGCCACCCCTTCTCGAGGGTGAAAAATAAATCACCCATTTTAATGGCAAAAATCAATAAAGGGATAATTTCTATAACATTTTTTCACAAAATTAATATTTTCGTAGTTATTTAGGATTGAAAATGTTGATTTTTCATCTAAAAACTGCATATTTTTCTGTTATTTTTTACAAATAACTTGAAAACCTTGCGTTTTATCGCCAAACTCATATAAAGCAAAAATGAAGCTTTTAGAATAAGGAATCGGAATCGAGGAATCAGGTGTAATAATAGCCGAGTTATCACTTTGTAAAGGTGATTTTTATTTTTCAAAAAGGATGGAAAAAGAACACATTTTTCGAAGAAAATGAATAGGGCCGTCTTTAAAGTGCTTGAAAAGACCTTTTAAATGCTTTATAAGGTCTTTTCAAGTTTGTAGCTCAAAAACTCGCGGAGTTATGATAAAAATAAAATGGTCACCTCATTTTTTCGGAAAAAAATTAACAACAAAATCTATGACAAAAATCATAAAAATAAAAACTGTCAATTTGTAGGAAATTACACGAGCTACAAATTAACCTCTATAGTTGACCAGTCTTGAACTCTTCATTTTTACAAGATTTTTGGATTTTAAGGGCTCGAAGAAGGTGGTCCTTACAGGCAAGTCAAACTAAAAAACGTAATATCTACGAAATAAACTACAGAAAAATTGAAAGAGCAAAAATATTGCAAAAGAAAGGACCTTCAGTTTTACTCTCTTGAATTTTTTACGTAGTTCGCTTAGTTTTTGAAATATGTCAAAAAAATTTAATTTTTTAAAAAATTAACAAAAAATTATTATTTTCAACTTTTTTCCATATTTAGGCATTCTAAGCCGTTCAAACTTGCAGAGCCCATTGTTAGTACCTAACTATAGCCAATTGTACATGTATTACGCTTAGTTTTGATTTTTATGATTTTAGTCATAGATTTTGTTGTTAATTTTTTTCCGAAAACTTCTAATCTTTTTAACAACTAATTTAAAAGGTCTTTTCAAGCACTTTAAAAACGGTTATTTTCTTTCTTTTCGAAAAATGGGTGCTTTCGCCATTATTTTACGGTAAAAAGTTGCCAATTTAGCTTTCGAAAAATAAAGTCACCTTTACAGAGTGATAACTCGGCTATTATTACACCTACGGGAATCAACAAAAAAATAATTGTTTAGTTATTCCAAAAGCTTCATTTTTGCTTTATGAGTTTTGCGATAAAACGCAAGGTTTTCGAGTTATTTATAAAAAATTGCAGAAAAATATGCAGTTTTTAGATGAAAAATCAACGTTTTCATTCCTAAATAACTACGAAAATATTAACTTTCTGAAAAAATTGTTATAGAACATCTTTTGCTTAGAATTGATCCTTTTATTGATTTTGGCAATTAAAATGGGTGACTTATTTTTCACCCCCGAGAAGGGGTGGCAGTCACCCCAGGGTGAAAGCACACATCGCTACTATGTAGCTTTTGTTTCTTACATATATCTCTATTCACTGTTAAAATTTCAGCTCAATCGGTACAGGTGTTCAGAATTCGGACCCTAAAACCCTCGCTTACTGGCCTATTTTTAACGTTCTCGAAATTTTTGAACCAAGTGATCGCTACCACGAGGACCTAAAGTATAATTTTTTATTTTATTTATGTTAAATATTTTTTCAATGTAAACACTTATTTATGGGTTAGCGTAATCCATTTTCTTTTTAATGGAAATTTGAAATGTTAGGATAAACAAATTGATATACTGTTTGTTATATATTTGTGAAATAGACGCGTTTACCATTCGAGTAAACCGTGTTATATATATAAATTATTTTATTGCATTTTAATAAATATTTCGCTTCTTACTTTGTTATTTTATTATGGTAAATAAAATTCTGTTCTTTGTCATACTACTTTCTGTTTTATTAACAAATTGTACAATTCAGCATAATCACAGAGTTTCACTACTATATTATTATTGTGACCTGTTTAGTTCACATTTTAATCAGTGGCTTAAGACCTAAAATACGCATACCATTATTTAAAACTTCTCTGGCAGTGTTGAAGAGCAAGAGCCTCTGAGCTGCTACGTCTGGATCCATACCTTTCACCTGGAGGGTTTTTAAAGCTTTGCTTACATGGTTGCTAAAAATTTTAAACCGTTAATTGTTAGAATACTTAATATTCAAATTTGAGGGGGCTCATAGACCCTGTTCACACTGAGCGACTTTCATTTGACGGTCGAGCATTCTGTTTACACTAGAAGTGTCGACATTTTTAGTAGAGTTAAACGGGATGTTCCTTAATGATATGCTAATATTTCAGGGGGTGATTCTTAGACTTATGTAAAAAACACTTCATATGTATGTCCTAAACATATTAGCTTTTGAGATACAGGGTGATGAAATTTTCTAAACAAAGCTTTCTTCATAATAAATCTGATGTTATTGTAGATATCTCTATGAAATTTCATACACGTCTTCTATACCGGGTTATATAACTTTTTTATTTTTTCAGATAAAAAAATAAGATTTGGTATATGACATAAATTAGGATTGATTGACGTGTTCATACGTGGCATAAAAGTTTTTGGTCATTTCCTGTTTCACCGGAAATGACTACAGCTTTTGATTTTTAAATGGCATCCTCGGTATTTTTTTACTTTATTCGATAGAAAATGACATTCTGAATAGAATGACATATCATATGCCAATTTTTGACATTTTCACTTAATAAAAATCGTATTTTAAATTTCAATCTAGAGTGCCATGACTATGTTAAAAACAGTAATGTTTAATCAAGGAGCCTTGGAAAAATATATTTAGTAGTTAGTCTAATGTGTTTAGTGTCTTGTCCTGACCGGTTAAAAGATGCCCAAATCGTATTTTTGATCATATCTCAATTTTTTTGAAATGTAACGAGGTTGGCTCATTAGCATATTTAGAAAAAGCATTTTTTTACGAATAATTTGATACCACACACTTGGTATTTGAGTCAATTTTTCGTCATGAACCGCATGTTATAATTTCAAATAAACCATATATTGTCAAATGTCAAAAGTTGACATATGATATGTCATTCTATTCAGAATGGCATTTTCTATCGAATAAAGTAAAAAAATACCGAGGGTACCATTTAAAAATCAAAAGTTGTAGTCATTTCCGGTGACACAGGAAGTAACCGAAAACAATTGAATACGTCAATCAATCATAATTTATGTCATATACTAAGATAACCAAATCTCGTTTGTTAACTGAAAAAGTAAAAAAGTTATATAGGTGAGCCACTTTTGAGACGCACCCGGTATACTTAAAAATTATTTTTTGGTGTACAAAAAAATTGTGTTGTATCTCTTTGGCCCTGAAGTCAAATGGCTTATTTTTTAAGCAAAAACAATGCGTCGGACGAAATAAAAAAATAAGAGTAGGAAATTGTTTAGAAATGAAGATTTTGAAAATAATTTTTATTCTAGGAGAAGTCAGTGGCGTACCATTTTTCCTTCAAAAATATTCAATGCAAAACCTGTATGGACGCCACTGGTTGAAATAAATAAAATTGTTTTTAGATCAAAATAGGCATTTTGATGCATAAAAGACGTGTATATTGGCAAGTACGCCAATATTTGCGTACTCGGCATCGCGATACAACATCGGCAAGTGTGGCGCTCACACGACGTGTCCATTTCAACAAGTACGCCAGCACAAACATTCTTTAAATCCTTGGCAAGTAAACAGTATAGTCGCATCGATGGATACCGGTCGTCCCGAAATTGTCGTTGCTAGTGATTCTTTTTAAGTTCTTTTACTGTACACTGCAATACGATTTTTTAGACCGTTAATTAAGGGTTCATTTTCGTATAAATCCATAAATTCCAAAACAACATAATTTGAAGACTACACGAGAAAACCCAGTTTTGTCCATTTTAATTGGAGCCGAGGAAAATACAATTTAGTGTTTTTAAAGAAATATGATATTTTCGGTTGAATAATTAGAAAAATATATATTACTACACTACCAATTCTGAATTATTAATATTGTGAATTATCGCCATATTCTGAAATACCGAAATAAAAATGTCAAAATGCAAAACAAAACAGGGTAAAACCAGGGATGTCCAATTAAAGGTTGTATAAAACCTAAATCTAAACTATTATTTTTTTGTTGTAGGAAGAAAATTAATATTTAAGTAGGTTTTAATTACAATACATAAATTTATAACATATAATACTAATTGCAAGATGCATGCTTGTCGCCCATGCGTAAGTACATCTCTGATTTTTGCCATTTACGCGTGGACTACTCTGGTTTTTCCTTTGTACGGCAAAATAACCAAGCTGTAATATTCTGGGACTAGGCGTATTATTGCTTTTTTTTCTCGAATGACGTTAACATTCGTCAATAAGGTTGTATCGCTATCTTAATTTCTATAAAAAAGTGACATATCTGGTTTTTCCCATGTAGTTTTCATTTGTCCACTCCATTTATTGCTGTGAGAACGATTTAGGTATGTCGCCAGTTATTAATGTAAAAACTCCGTGGAACTCATGAAAACAAAATTATAAAAAAAATAAACCCAACATTCTACATTCAAAACAATTCAAACTTACTATATTGATGTTATTTAATTGTACCACATATTTGTAGCTATATCGGCTATATTGTCCATAATGATAATTTATTTTCAAGGCTGGGCTTAAAATTAGGCCTACAATTTTATCAGAACGACAGTAAGAGGATCGACATACGGAAAAAAATATATTTCGATTTTTGTCAAGCTAAACAGAGCATTTTGCCGTATGTGGCGGCCATCGAATCGATGCCGCGTCGAATGTAAGTCGCTCAGTGTGAACGGAGTCTTATATTCTTACCACAAATGAAACAAATAGGCTACTAGAATACAGGCTTCTAATTGTTCCAGAGAATTGTGTAATACATCTTGGAATTTCGCCAGTTCCTTAATCAGCTCTACCACTTCGTTTTCAATTAAAATGGAAGTATTGCACGACTTGGCAGGTAACACGCCGCAGTTTTCTTCTAAACTATGCAGTCTGCAGTGGGTATATTGTAATTTTATACCCGTATCTCCTTTTACCTAAAATTAATACTGAGAGAAATCTTGTTGACTTTATAAAGGTTTTGTCCAACCTGTAAAACTTTGTCCCAATCAAATTCATAATCCCTTTGTCTTCTTTGCTTTAAATCGTTTATTATTACACAACTAATACCCAGAATGTCGGAAATGTGATCATTGCTTATCGGTACCTTTGTAGCTTAAAAAATCTTAAATTTATTTTCGAATTAATATTAATGTTTGGCTTTAAAATAGCAAGATTATCACCTACTAAATTTAAAAATATCTTTAAGACAGCTAAATGAATGTTTTATACTAAAAATTAAATAAAACAAAACTATATTTGACAACAGCAATTATACGGTTTCTAATTACATCATCATCAGACTATAGTCTGTCCAACGAGATAATACATGATAGTGACAGTTGTGTATGTCATTTTAATGCACACGTAAATTGTATTTTCTGTCATTATTTGGATGTCGTCTGTCGAAATCTTACTCCGAAACCTCTACTAGAGGATATAAAATAGACCTTATGATTTAATTAAATTCTTAAAATCATTACTATTAAAGAATATTATAGTAAACGCCACGAATGTTTGGGAGTGATTTATCGGTCGCTACCATGTGAACTAATCTGTTCAAGGTCACATAAAACTTGATTCCAGTGCCGTAGTGTTTCAAGTCATAAATAATCAATATATAATCTGTTGTAATTTGTTGCTTTAACTGTCAAAGTCTTGTCAAAACATATATTTGGTTATAAATATAAAATGGAATGCCCCACTGGTCGCACTGCAAGCACACCAATGGACTGACGCACAAAAACGAATCAATCAAAGAAACGCGATATAGTATCGTTTTTGTCAATCACACTAACATTTTAGAATAAGTAGGAGGAGCGCAGGCAGATGATTAGACCGGGCCTTTAAAAACCTACGTCTGCGGTAAAAATTTACGTTTTTAATGTAAAAATGATAGCGCGCGTGGCGATTCTAACTCCATCAAGCGATGAATCACTCCCAAACATTCGTGGCGTTTACTATACAGGGTGTCCCAGAAATAAGTGCAAATATTTTAAGGGGTGGTAGATCTCGATAAAAGAAACATATTTTCTCTTTATTGTTTTTCAAATAAGTCCAAAATAACGGAGTTATTTTGCTTTGAAAATTATCAAAAAAAAAATATTTTTTGCTAAAATTTTGAGAACTACTGTATCTTTTCTGGATTTTCTTTCTTGTAAATTTAATCTAATACCTATGTTGCCATATTATCAAGAAATTATGTTTTTTAACTAAAACCTAAAAAAATTTCAAAAAAAATTTTCAAAAAATTTCGAATTTTCAAAATTTTTTTTTCGCGAAAAATACCTCATAGGTGTGTTTCTGGGGTTGAACTATACTACCAGTTAAAATATTTGCACTTATTTCTGGGACACCCTGTATATCAATGTAGTCTTTAAGAATAGACATAAAAAAATTGGTTAATATTTCAATTAAAAAAATGCCGTTGGGCATTTTTTTAAATGACAACTTAGATATTCGCTCTATATACAGGGTGTCCCAGTAATAAGAGCAAGTACTTTAAGGGGTAGTAGATCTGGCCATCGATCTGGAAGATCTGGAAGAAGTTTTAAGAACTGCAGGCTATGAACGAGAAATGCTTAACATATGTAGTTAAAGAAAGGAAAGTCTCATACCTCGGACATATCCTTAGAGGAGACAAATATTACATTCCTAAGCTGCAGGGACGCGCCGTCCATATGGGCAAGGTCGTGCGGCGCACGACGCACAGAGGGGATTTTTTCCAAATTCGTGGCCAAAATGATTTTTGTAGCATAAACTTACTATTTCTTTTCGAAACTAGTATTTACATTAAAAGTGAGTCATATTTACTAAGAAAATGTCTATTATACACTTTGATGCTATACAGGGTGACAAAAAAATTGTAAAGTTCGAAACAGAGGTAATATTAATTATTAGAAGAAAATATTCAGTAGTTTTCATCTTTAAACATGTATTTTTTGCAAATTGTTCTTATGTTTTTCATTTTCATTACATATAAATTTTAAGGGAGTGTACAACCCCTAAAATATGTTTTATTTTAAAAATTGGTTAATTTTGCAGAAAAATGGTTGAACACGTATTTTCTATCGCTTTTCACCAAAATCAATAGTTTTTTAAATAAAAACATTTAAGGGGTTGTTCATCCCTTAAAATTTGGGTTTTGAAAATACCCTACTTATTGAACCTCTACACCTAACAATCTATACGTAAGCCAAAATTCAGCTTTTTACTCCCATTGGTTTCAGCTTGATGAAAAGGGGTTGTATTCGCCCCTATGGGACAATCGTTGTGGAAAAAAAATATCTTCGTATGTCAAAAACAAAATAAAAATACGTGTTCAAGCATTTTGTCGCTTGAAACCGGTGGTTTCTTAAATAAAAACATTTCAATATTGAAAGGGTAGTTACAACCCCTTTAAATTCAAGTTTTATAAAATTCTTTCTTATTGCTCGCCTACTTTGTATAAGAAACCTTTGTGCAAAATTTCGAGTCTCTAGACCCAGAGGTTTAAGCTGTGCATTGATATGTGCCTATATCCGTCACTTACAGTCACTTTCACAGACATTTTTTTAAGTGTCCGTTAACTAAAGGACAATTAAATTTAAAGGTGCCATTTATTTGACGTGACATACAGGTCATCAATCAGTGTTAAAATGGCACTTAAAGACCCTTAACCTAACGGTCTCTTAAAAAAATGTTGATGCAAGTGGCTGTTAGTGAGAGTTTATTCTATTATACATATAAGTAGATTTCACATTACGTTTAGAGCCAAAAATCTGTTATTTTGAACAGATTAGCAAAAACTAGCAGTCACTTTTAACACAGTTAATAAGATTAAGCATTGATAAATAAGATAGTGAAAAGCATTGACCTTAATACGCATTAATAGGGTACCAAATGCTTAACCGAATGAACGCTTAATTTTTTCTTTTTTCATTTTGAACAATAGAAAACAAAACCAATAAAAGTTTATATATGCATTTTAAAATACTACTAAGTAAAATATTATATTACTCTACATACATGAAGGTACACAATCCATGTTTCACTTTTCGCAAAAAAATATTGGAAACACAATAAAACCAAAGGTCATTAGTAACGAAAATTTAAGTAATGACAGCCAGCATAACATTTTGTCTTGCCAAAGCTAACTTTGGATCAACGTAACTAGAGAATACGGTAAAAATTTATAATAATTTTTTTTAGCTTAATAGATAGATATGTTGCCTGTCGTTTCAAATATTAATTATGAGAATATTGCTCATTTCAGAATTGTAAATTTTGACCACGAATTTGGAAAAAATCCCCTCTGTGCGACGACGCCAAAGTCCTAAAGGCGCCTGCGGTCACTAACTTTAAAAAATAATAAAACCATTTTTTGGAACTTATCAACAAATTAACATAAAATTTAAGTAATACTTTTATCTATGAACGCCAGTGGTGAAAATATATTATCCACCAATGTCGAGCGCCGCGCCGCTGGTCATTGGAAATTTTGGCTCAATATTATAATATTGGAGAAAGGCGCCTACCCTTATTTCGCACGACGGCGCCGAAAATACTTGGCGCGTCCCTGCTAAGCTGATTCTACAAGAAAAAATAGAGGGACGGCGAGGCCCAGGAAGAAAACAACATTCCTGGCTAAGAAACATACGGGATTGGTGTAACATCAGCGACGCAGCCACCATATTTCGAAGAGCCGAAAACGGCAGTCTACACATCGTATGAAGAGTAGAGACAATCGCCAACGTGCGGCTAAGCACAAGGCACAGGAAGAAGAAGATCTGGCCATATTTTCTCAATTCAAATATCAATCAAAATTTGAATTAAAATCAGTGAATTTATTAAAAAAATTTAAATAAATGTGTAGGTACATAATTTATCAAATATACAAAACATACATTCAAATACCGTTTAATTCTTTTCGCATTATATTTGAGAATAAAATCACTACTTTTTAGCCAATCTCTAGTTTTTTTCGTAATAGACATAAAAATATCTGATAGTTTTCTTTATAGGCTTGCTGCATTTCAGTTGATTTCAACAAATTCCGACCGCAGCGCCTCAACGGCAAAAATCTGAAATTATCAATATATAGTGCACGCCGCCGCCGTCATGTTGATCGCATTAAAATAATATTGAAATAGTGGTTTTGTCATAATATTTAAGGATTTTAGTTTTTTGCTAGTGCAGTTATTGAGACAATAAAACACTCAGGTACGAGATTTGTTTGATGTAACCATAGACTTAAAATAAAATATAGACTACACTATTTACATCTCAACGCGGACAAACAACCTTTTTTGTACACATGTTTACTTCTGGGTACAGTCGACCGAGCCTTCCTCATCCAGCCTATGTTGTCACGTCTTTAATATTATCAATATTTTTTTTCTTGTTACACATATATTGAGATATTAATACTACAGTTTAATAAAGTAGGTTTTAATATTCCATAGATGTATTAAATAGTCCTTATACTACTAAATTATAAGTCGGATACTGTTTAATAAGGATAAGTTCTTTACAATATGACAACACCGATTAGAGGCGAGGAGCCTATTCATTCATTTATTACCTTGTAGTACGTGTCGCACGTGTGCGGTAAAGTTTTGTTGTCGCTATCTCCCCGGCTGTATTAACGCATTTTCTTAGCTTGTAGTCCTTTTATTAAAGAAATTTGACTTAAATAATCCATTTAAGTCTTGAAACGACTTTTGACCGGTAGGCAACTCTCAATTTACCCATTGGCAGTCAGTGGCGTTGTTGTAGAAAGGCGCTTATTTAGATAATATTTTAGTAAAATGTAAAATCTGAATTTTTCTTTTTACATTACATTATTTACTTACATTGTAACAAAATCATAATTATAACCCTGTTAATAATTAATAATGTTTTTATTAAAATATATTCCGGTTTATTCTAAAATTATCTTCAGAATCTAAAATAACATACAAGAATTTTAAAATTATATTACATTATGAAACAATATTTTTAATATACCGGGTCGTCTCAAAAGTGGCTCAACCCTATAACTTTTTTTATTTTTCAGATAAAAAACAGATTTGTATGTTAGTAGGTATATGACATAAATTAGGATTTATTGACGTATTCAATTGTTTTTGGTCTCTTCCTGTTTCACCGAAATGATTACATCTTTTGATTTTTAAAGGCACCCTCGGTATATTGCTACTTTATTCGATAAAAAATGACACTCTGAATAGAATGACATATCATATGTCAACTTTTGACATTATCGCTTAAAAACATATCCTATTTTAAATTTCAATCCAGTTTTTTTCAATCCACTAAATTTTAATCAAGGAGCCTTGGAAAAATAGTTTTGATCGTCTAATGGGTTTCGTGTCTTGTCTAGGCCGGTTAAAAAATGTACAAATCGTATTTTTAATCATACATATGTCAATTTTTTCAAATGGAACAAGGGTGACTCATTAGCACATTTGGAAAAAGCATTTTTTTATTAATATATTGATACCACACACTTGGTATTTCGAGTCAAATTGTCGTTATGAACCGCGTGTTACAATTACAATTAAACCATATGCGAAAATGTCAAAAGTTGACATATGATATGTCATTCTATTCAGAGTGTCATTTTCTATCGAATAAAGTAGAAATATACCGAGGGTGCCGTTTAAAAATTAAAAGTTATAGTCATTTACGGTGAAACAGGAAGTGACCAAAAACAATTGAATGCGTCAATCAATCCTAATTTATTTCATATACTAACATACTAAATCTTGTTTTTTTATTTGAAAATATAAAACAATTATGGGGGATGAGCCACTTTTGAGACGCACCGGTATAATAAAGACAGTACCGAGTTAAATAAATGTAGTTTTTATTTTATCCACTTCCTATCACCTTCCTTGCTTTAATGGAACAGATTTATGTTTTCTCTAATTTACATAAGACATCACTTAATTAGAAAAAAAATTACAACAATCATATTTTTTTTTCTCTCCCTGTCGCCGATTCTATTATATCTGTGGAATAGATCCTGTTTTGATTAATATTAGGGGTTGTAAATGTTTGACTAAAATTAATAATTTATTATTAATTTCAAAAATTACCTAATTTCGATTATAAAATTTCTTCTATAACGTGTATTTTATTATTTTTATCCTTTTGGACTCTAAATTGTTTTTTCTAAAGTTTTATTTAAAAACCTGTCCTAAATCTTAATAAAATATAAAAAAGTTTAAATACGATATATTTTTAATTTAATTATAGCTTCATTAAAATAAAAAAATTACCCGGCTATGATACGGAGAGTTCAGGTGTACTTGAGAAACGAAAGACAGTGTTGTGTTTCTCGGCAGAGTCGTCAGGGAACGACCGTTACGACAGAGACAACCTATCTATCGCTCGTGTCGCACTCGTTATAACCTAAAACAACAACACAACAATAACAAGACAGTGTCTGACCGCATGTTCCAGCTATTTATGAATGAGATGCTCAGTCTATATTTTATTTTAAGTCTATGGATGTAACGCTGTTTCGGGTAGTAAAAAATAAGTTTTCACTAAGAATTCGAACTAGGCGTCGCGTTGTGTTGTGACAATTTCAAATGTTAATTTGAAAGTAATTTGAGTTGCCAAAAAAATAATAACGCGTAAAGGAGAGCGTAATTAAGGCGTTGTTAGGTGCAATAACATTCAATAACTCAACTTTCCCGGATACTCAACTCTCCCCGAAACTATTTTATAGATTCATAGTTCCTCACACCGATTTGATCAATAGCAAAATTGGATTCCAGCAGTTCGACGAAACAAGTGAGTAAACAAAGTGCTCGTTACATAATCAAAAAATTAAATAGACGAAAAGACATATACTATGAGAGGATAAAATATAATTTGCAATATTGATGGTATACCAACTTTTATTAATCAACTAGTGATTAAATGTTTTATGAACATCTAAAATTATAATTATGTACCTTTAAAAAATTTCGTTATAGCCGAAATAGCCCCAATTATGCCCCAGTAGCAAACTAGTGATTAAAATTATGCTCGCTATCGTTGTTGAACTCATCTAAAAAGTTTTTTTAACTGGAATAATAAATTATAATACAAATTAGACCTGAAGATATCAAAATATTTACTTTTTTATTTTTAGAATTTCCACAAATTATACTTCCTAACACTTTTAAAATAATTAAATAATACATTTTTCGTATACTCGCTATTTAAACCCGTGTATTTGTACATGCTAGTTTTTTACGATATTCTCCGATGGTGGGAGCAGCGGCGGTGAATTATATTACATTTATGGGTTTACATTTACGTAATCCGGCAACAACGCGCAGTGTTGCCTAATCGACGAAAAGTTATCGTGCCTACCTCTAGCAGTGGCGTGCAGTGTTAATCAGATGAGGGTAGGCAAAAATTGTTATTATTAATCAAATAATTTGCCGCTTTGCATTCTAATTGTACCAACTTATTTCTTTGCAAATCAAAATAAACTACTTTAAAATTAAAATGACAGACACAAGATTTCCTCGTTGGACATACTATACTTTTTACTCTACTTTTAAATTTAGTAGGGATTAATGCATAAACAATATAATAACTTACTAGGTGACTCTATTTGCCTTTTAACAATTAACTCTTTGCACTCATCTAAGATATCTTGCAGGAATACCGAAGTTCCTTTTCTCGAACTCATTCCCTTAATCCTGCCAAATTTCACATGTACCAGTCTATCGGACCATGGCAAATCCATTTTGTGCAGGATACTTCTTAAGGCGTAAAAATGATCATTTTGGTCATTAGCAACCACGTAATACATTTTATCAAAATTATACTTTTTAAACCTATCTATTGCTGCAGCTATGTCTCTAGACAGGTAGAGGGTTGACCCATCACTTTTTATTACTGTTACTGTTTTATCTGTACCAACTTCTGCTACCTTAAAATATTATAAAATTTATAATGCAGAGCTGCAAGCTCACAGAAACCTTAAGTCTTTTTTGATTTAAATCATTTTAATGCCATTTGATTTTAAGTCATATTTTGAAAGCTGACTTCCTAAAATTGAAGTAATTTTCAAAGTGATTTGTCTTTATTCTGAAATAAAAAGCCTTAAATCATTAAAAAAAAATTAAATGTTTTAAAAGATTTATGTCTTTTTAGAAAATATTTGTCAGAGTTTTTACATATTTTATAATATTTATGAAATTTTTAACAGCGGCATTTCCTTTTGAACTGTCAAACGGCAGCCCGGCAGCAGATAAAATACACCGACACTCGCTACCGCTAGCGAATAAAAAGTTAGTTTCTTCGGAACCGTTAGGGTGGCGACACACGAGGCGGCTTATAAGCGGCGGCGTCGGCACTTTGTTCCTAGCCGCTTAGAATCAGATTTGTACAAAATTCAAACAGCTGTCAATTTTAAATTTAGTACAGCTCTCATTGGTTGTTTAAAATGTTAAACTGTGTCGCCAGCGACACGATAAAAAAAGAGTTCTAATGATGATTTGTGAAAAAAGATTAAGAGGGGTTTAAGTGTGAAATGTTAAAAATGAACCATTTTCTCAAATTAAAAGTACTGGATGGTCGAAATCATTAGATCAGGAGATATTCAAAAATATTCAAAGTTTTAAAAGCGGTCATACATTTTCTTAAGATTTAGAGGATATTTCGTAAAAAAAAAATATTTTCTTCCAGGTTCGGATCCAGGTGGATACAAATTAAATACAGCAATATACTAAAAGGTTTGTTTTATATTGTCATACATGAAAGGCCCTATTCAAATGTATCCATTTTTTTAAAAGTCAACTTTTATATAACTTCCGAAACGTTCCTTGGTATAAGTTATATATATAAAAAATAAGACACTAAGAAAAAATGCTGTTTAAACATTTTTAAATGTGAAATGTTGAAAAAGAATCATTTCTTCAAATAAAAAATATTCGTAACCCAAAAATGTTAGCAGAACATCAAAAAAGATATTAAAAAATGACTAGTTAATTTTACCAAGATTTGATGATTCATAGATACTTTAACTTTCAACCACTATAGACTTCTTACTATAAAAAGAAGGAAAAAAAATATTTTTGAACCCCTGGAGTGTCCTCTTAGCATTCATGTAAAAGAAAATTTCAAAATTCGGTTGTTGATTTATTCGCTAATGTCCAGCATTTCTCAATTTCGTCACACTGTGCGACGTGACGGTGGCCGGACGTTATAGCACAGATTATAAACTTATCGTCAAAAGCATTGTTTTTCGTGGTTTCAATTTTCGGAGTCGCGCACTAGTTTGCGCACAAGCGCGCCCACTTATGGTCTCTAAAATTGTGCACAGCGCCTGACCAGCCCAGTTATTACACTGTTTAAACGGGAGTTTATTTTTACGCACAAGAAAATTTACTCGTTTGCTCATCGTCATAAAAAACAATTTTCGTACCACGAATTAGGGACAAGATTTTTATCTGTATACTTATAGGATACCTAATCTTTAGTTATAGTAAGAATCGCGCCAGGACAGAACAGGACAAATAATTAAAACCGGTTCTGAAAAAGTAACATTTTATTTGCTAGTGGTATTGAGCCTTGTTTTTTATTCTGTTGCTTAGCTGCCACCTAACAGTTTAAAAAGAAATACTGGTGTTAAAATTTTTTCATAAAAATATATAAAAATCTGACTTAAGCCTTTTATAAAAAGACTTAAATCTTTTTCTATTTTGGAATAAAGAAATAAATCACAAATCATTTTCAAGTGAGCTTTCGAAAAATGACTTAAATCATGAGTCTAAAAATGATTTAAAATAATCATGAAAATGATTTAAATAAGAAAAAGACTCAAGTCGCTCAAGTTTTCTGTGAGCTTGCAGCTCTGCTTGCAGATCATCAAGATTTAAGTCAAAAATATAGACTTAAGTCATAAAAACAATTTAAATAATGTTAAATTGATTTAAGTCTTTACAAAAATGACTTGACTTGAAATATAATAACTTAAGTCAATGACTTAAATCATTTAAACTTTATGTGGAAATTGACTAAATATTTAAATCATTTTAATTTTAAAAATGACTCAAGATAATAGACTTACCTCTTTTCCATCAGGCTGCTTTTTTAAAATGTGCTTTTTCCTCATTGTATCTATTACATCTCCAATATCCTTCTGACTGTACATAGACTCATAATTATATTCATCGAAAGTAACACCCAATCTCTCATAGGTTTTTACTAATTCGTTTTTGGTAAAGTTCAGTATCTGTTGCCAGTGTTTTAGATCATTCGCAGATCCTTGTTCGAGCTTAACAAATTCAGCTTTAGCTCTTTCTAATATCTCAGGATCTTTTTCTGCCATCTTGTTGGCATGTACATAGCACTGATATAGAATCTTTATAGGATCTGTTTTCAGACTATCTAAATTATAATTTAGGTCCTTTAATCCCACTTTAATAAATCCAAACTGCGTACCCCAATCGCCCAAATAGTTTATTCTGGTAACATTATTTTTAATAAACAGGTTCAAATTACTTAAGAAATTTCCTAAGATTGTTGATCGTAAATGACCAAAATGAAATGGTTTAGCTACATTTGGTGAACTATATTCCACTACAATATTCTTTGGTTTAAAATTTACTTCTGGGTAGTAACAGTTTTCTATAACATCTTTAATAAAAATGCTTCTATCTATTTCAAAAGATATCTTTCTATTAGCGCGGTCACGAACCAACTGAACGCTTTTAATAATATCGTCTGGATGAATTTTCAATATTTCATTTACATTAGTGATGCCCAAGCTGGTTTCTAGTATGTTCAGCGGTAAGTTGAGTTCAATTTTACCTTTCTCTTTTGGGTTCCCGACATGGATTAATGTCTGAAGTTGCACAGGAGTTATTTTTGTCGTCTTATGAAGGGAATCCACTATCTAAAAAATTTCGATTTTTATTAAAGTCATGGAGAACTATTATTTCCAGGCACCTTCCGCCCTATATATAATTTAAGTTTTGAAGACATTTTTAATAAATTAACTAAGTCATTAATACAAGAATTTAAATATTATTTATAAAAATGCATTACATATGCTTGGTTTAAAAAGGTTATATTTACTTTTCTCTGTTTGACACATGTTTGACAATTTAAGCTCTGTATTGTTAGTTGCATACACTCATGTGATAACATCAAAGGATAACATCAATAACATGAAGCAAGAAGAGAATTTTCCAAACAAGTTAACGAAATGCTTATTTATTGTATGATTTATTGTAAGTCCATCGTTTCACAACTGCCTCCCATCTTCAAATTTTTGCAAGAAGGAACATCCAGCATAGTTTTAACCTGAAATATTAAATAAACATTAATGTTTTGAAGAGTTTAATAATATACTCATATAAAATCTTAAGAAAAGGTAACAATAGTAGGTTAAAAAATAATATAAAGTAATAATTGTTGTTCTCACCGTAGCGAGTAGCTATTTCAAAAACCAAAATAATTTGGAAGCTGCTACTAATATTTTAACATTTTATCTACTACTCCTATCCATGGCCATATATTTATTTTTTATTTTTTTCCATTTTCCACAATTTTCTTGACTTTATGGTGAAGGAAGAGATAATTGTATTCAGATTTCCGATAAATATTTCCTAGAAGTTTGATACAAAAAAGAAAAAAGTATTAGCCATAATCAAGGGTATTAGTATTGATATAATGACTATAAAAATACATATACAGGGTGAGTTTCCTAGGATGTTCTCTATAGGTATCTCGGAAACTACTGGAGATAAAGAGTCAGTTAAATGGGGAAAGAATTGCAGTTTTGTGGGCTCATAAATATGCGCTTTTCAGATTTTCGAAAAAGTTCATGGCTTACTAGATATTTCGAAAAAAACAAATTTTGGCTATTTTAAAAATTGTCCCTAATTCCATTATAATTTATTTTAGACAAAAAATGTTCAGATAAAAGTTGTAGATAATCACATCCCTAATGAGACTGTGCTCTCCGATTTTTTCTAAAGCCTGTCATTTTTGACATATGACACAAACATATGTTTTTTTAAATGGAAACCATAGTTGGCCATGACTTCATAAATAGCGCCATTTTTTAAGCTTTTCAGCGATATAAGCTATAATATGTTTCTTTCACAAAATTACTGAGTTATAGCCAATTCTTATCTTTCTTGACTAATTTCACTTAGTTAGCCATGGAAACAAGTTCAATCGTCGTTGCTCTCAGAAATGTGAAATTGTCACATCCAATCTTTGTAAATTAAAATAAACAAAAATTGTAAATATGAGTTTTTCAAATGAATAAAAGCGTGTAGGATTATTGGTTCAACTTTTCTTGGCCATACAGTTTCGAGAATACGTTGACCCGTGAACGTTACTTATGTTTTTTTAGAGAACGGTTTTCAAGACATGTTAGAAAAGTTAAATTTAGATACTCGCGCATTAATAGAGTGGTTCCAACATGACTTTCATTATGACACACCAACTCTTCGCTCAAAAAATGTAAGAAATTAAAAATTATTTCATTATCATAATTATGTAAACTCAGGGATAGAAGAGGTGGACCAATTGCATGGGTCTCCTCGGTCACCTGACCTATCCATTTTAGATTTTTTTTATGCGGTATGGTTAACAACAAGGTTTACAAAAGAACTTATGAACTTATGAGAGGCACTCGAAGAGGCGGAACAGGAGAAGTTTAATTAAGTCGATCGGTCGTTCTGTGACAATAGCTAGAAATTCAGTTTTAAAAACATGCATTTATGTACTCAAAACAATTGCGGATTTTTTGAATATTTTCTAAAATAACTTAAAGTGTATGTATTGATTATTTTTTTAAGTTTTAGTTTCTGTAATGTAAATTGAAAAGAGCCGTTTAATAATATATTTTGTCTTTTTATGAGTTATAAATCATAACAAAATTAGAACACCATTGGAAATAAAAAAAGACCAGTAAAAGTAACTTTTACTGGTCAACGTATCTTGTATGGTCAAGAAAAGTTGAACCAATAATCCTACACGCTTTTCTTCATTTAAAAAAAATTATTTACAATTTTTGTTTATTTTAATTTACAAAGATTGGATATAACTATTCCACATTTCTGAGAGCAACGACGATTGAACTTGTTTCCATGGCTAACTAAGTGAAATTAGTCAAGAAAGATAAGAATTGGCTATAACTCAGTAATTTTGTGAAAGAAACATATTATAGCTTATATCGCTGAAAAGCTTAAAAAATGGCGCTATTTATGAAGTCATGGCCAACTATGGTTTCCATTTAAAAAAACATATGTTTGTGTCATATGTCAAAAATGACAGGCTTTAGAAAAAATCGGAGAGCACAGTCTCATTAGGGATGTGATTATCTACAACTTTTATCTGAACATTTTTTGTCTAAAATAGATTATAATGGAATTAGGGACAATTTTTAAAATAGCCAAAATTTGTTTTTTTCGAAATATCTAGTAAGCCATGAACTTTTTCAAAAATCTAAAAGGCGCATATTTATGACCCCACAAAACTGCAATTATTTCCCCATTTAACCGACTCTCTATCTCCAGTAGTTTCCGAGATGCCCATAGAGAACATCGTAGGAAACTCACCCTGTATAATTATAAACTAGAATTTTGTCTTCTGATAATAAATATTATGGTTTACCAAAATAACTCGCACAAATTTGTCACATATACGTTTTTTTTTCATAAAATAATTTCTTACTTAGACATCCAATATATTTTATTTGTACACTTCAGTTTCGATGCAGATTTTATCTAAAAAATAAAAAAAACATATTTAAAAATCTAGAAAATCATGACGCTGTGAGAAGATACTTTCTTACCTGTAGTCATCATCATTTTCAGCTTATTCAACAAACACTATGGTATAGCCTCCCTAACATATTTAGATAATCTCTTTGTAGTTGGACCTATTGTTGTCTATTGTTGGCTATGTGAGCTCAAGTTATCCCTGCTAATTTCCTAATATCATGGTCTTCTAGGTCTCTAAATTCATTGTGGGTACCATGCTGTAATTTTTCTGGCCCATCTGTTGTCCGGCCCTCTCTGCCAGGTATGCTGCCTATTGCCACTTGAGGAATTTGACTCTGTGGATGACATTTATTACCTGGGTCTTATGTCATGGCTACTCTATTCTTTTATAGTCTCTCTCGGTTATTCCCAGCATATTTCGTTCCATTCGGCGCTTTTATGGTGGGTTCATACAGCCAAATAAAATAAAATAAGAATAAAATAAAATAAAATAAGAAAGTTGGTTATATGGGATACCGTACATGCGTTCATACAGCCAAATAAAATAACAAATAAAATAAGAAGTCTTTATCTTTTAATTTCTTGTTTTATTTTATGTGAAAACGGCTTTGCGCACGCTTAATTCTAACCTACAAATATTTTCAGTTTGATTTAATTTATTTTATAATTTCACATAAGTAAAATGTATAATATAGTAGGCAACGAATAAATAAATATACTATAAATAGTAAAATTACTATAAACAATCGTAAAAGTTAACTTTTATCCAGCCTCATCGTACTGCGCATGAGCAAATATATATTTCTTATTTTATTTTATTTGACTGTATGAACGCACACAAATAAGAATTCCTTATTTCTTATTTTATTTTATTCTTATTTTATTTTATTTGGCTGTATGAACCCACCATTAGACGCTCAGCGTATATGACGTAAATTTTTGCTTAGTGCGCATTTAACTGCGCGTTGTGCGACCTTTACTGCTGGCTGTATTTAGTTCGTTAATTTGGGCTTGTAGTTCTTCAGGACTATTGGCAATTAGGATTATGTCATCAGCAAATCTTAGATTTGTTATCAATTCCCTATCTATTTTTAATCCTGTGTTGGTCCAGTCCAGTTGACCGAAGATTTCTCTAGTGTTACTGTAAACAGCTTTAGGGGTATCACGTCTCCCTGTCTTACCTGTAGTATATATTTTTTTCACACTCAAAATCTGTCTGATATCTTCATAGCACTCAACACTAAACACTGCCCTCCCAAAAATTCCACATATAGCGCCCTGAAAAAAAGGATATACAACAACCAATCCACAATACCTACAGTGCAGCTCATACAGAGAACGTTAGTCCCTAAAGAGCTTGGAGCTGAAAAAATTAAAACACTGAACATGAGCCAATGTGAACCTGTAAGACATTCAGATGACCTTAACGATATCTACTCAAAATGATCCTGCTGTGGTGCCTTGGCGACTCATACAAAGACTGATAGTACTAGAGCATCTTGAACTACTGCTGTAAAAAAAAAGAGCAACAAAAGAGTATCATGTACATAGAAATTGTGTAGACTTCAATTTGGCTTCGAAATGACTCTAATAGAGATGGGCAAAGATTGAACGAACCGTTCATCTGAACGAGTATTAAAAATGGTGAGATTCGATTCACTGCTTAAAATACGGTTCGTTCAATTGAATCGTAGCCAGCACGGATCAATAAACGAACATATCGAAATGAACGAGTCGTAGGAATCGATTAAATATAAGAAATTGAATCGTGTGATTCGATTTACTAAAAGGAATCGCCATGCCCATCACTACTCTCTACCCTGGTGCATACAGCTTCAAACAAAATAGATGTTCAATCAACGTAAATCTATAAGATACAAGAAGAACCATGCAATAATCTTCTGAAGGCGTTGAATCAAGTAGGCTGCAGTAGTTCCTGGGAAGCCTCGTTCTTATGGATCATTATATTCCCATTCTTGCTTCAAACGTAGTAGAACTTCAACCCATAAACTAATTTTTATTTGAACCTATGAAACACAAGAACCCTACAAAAATCTCAAAACTGAAACTGGCTGCTGTGGTTCCCTCCAAGGCTCATACCAATACCTGTAAAAAATAGTATCAAAAAAAAGACTACCATATATACATAAAGATTGTGTAGGCCTCAATTTGGGTCCGACATGACTACAGCATCAAACAAAGTATATCTTCAACCAGCGCAAACCTCTAAGACACAAGAACCCTACAAAAATCATCTGAAGATGTCGACTCAAACTGGAAGCTCATAGAGGCTATCAGTCTTTGTAAAGCGCCAAGACCTACTCTTGTAAGAAAATAAACCAGACTTAGATATGACCCTGTTAAGTTTTGGACCTCAAAAATTTAAACAAATGATGACCTCAAAAAGTCCTAAAAATTTCTACTGCGCTACTAAAAAACTCGATCCCTTTTTTCTAGGCCCTAGAATCATACCTGAACTTGAATTGAAAATACAAAAATAAGTTTAAAACATTTAGACTATTTGTATTGAAAACTTAGTTATTGAAATGCTTAATTATTGGCATGCGTTTACTCTAATGTAGTAATAAGTAAAAGAAAGTGAGTTAAAAAATTAGGAAGTTATAGAGAGTTACCTACACCTACACGTTTAATTTAAGAAAATAAAAATATCTGTTAGACATTCCCTAGATTTCAATTTGACTAAGAT